GACCATGTTCAGCCATCTTCGAGCTACAACACTGTCCATCTCACACCGCGATTCTTCACTCACTTCTTCAATTGGTGGTCTCTTTTCTCGGGAGTGATGTCGCTTCCTGTTCGCCAAGGACCGCTCTGGCCAGGAGTCACAAAGACGAGCAAGAAGTTCAACCGTCATTTGGCAACTGTCAAATACAAGATTCTTCTTGCACCCCTGTTCGTGGCACACATTTACAAACACAAGGACCGCGAAGATTACGCAGAGAGAGTTGTTACGGCCACGGGCCTGAAAGTTCGTTTCGATTGCTTGAAATTTGATATTCATCAACGCCGCGAGCAGATCAAAACACATGCTGGAGGCCGTTCAAAACAGACTAGGACAAGTGCTATGCGTATTAATCAAGCCCAAATTGATATGCAAGCTGCAGATTTCCGCGCTGTGTCAGCTAGCATCGAAGGCACCACAGTAGAAGACGTTGAGCGCAACAGAGACGACATCCTCTCTTCCTTCCAGCAACCTGTTCCATCTGTTGATTTATCTCGATTCACAATCCCTGATCACAACCTAGACTGGGTCGACATGGATGACTTCGTGGAACCAGACTGGATCTTGCCACAGGAGTCGAACCCTCGTACCCAGATCTTACCTTTGGCCTTTACCCCGCGCTTTACCTACACCCGCAACACAGATCATTCTGAAATTGGACCCGACGAAACGGGCTACAGTACCTTTGGAAACGAACCGACTCACGAGTGTGTCATGTCTGAAACCAACGATCCTCGCCGTGTTCAGACTGAGTTGGTTAAAGACCGCCTTGCAACAGTCGAGGCACAAATTCGCAATTTTGAACGTACAATTGGGGAGATGGAACTCAAGCTCATGAGGGATGTGGATGGTAACGAAGACCTGAAAGCTGAGCATGAGATTTTCCTTCGCCAGTCCGAGTCTCTGGCGAGACGACGCAAGTTCTTAACCACAACTCTCCATCGCCTTGAGAGGCACATCACACGCGACGAGCGGACACCACGTGGCAACACGCTTGGCAAAAATGTTGCGCCCAGCACTGCTTCTTCCCGAACAGGACACACGGGTCGGTATGCTGAGTCCACAACCGATGGCCGTTCTTCAGGCATGGATGGAATGTACTCGTCAGGCAACGATGAGTTCTCCAGTGATTTCAACAATCGTTTCATGATCCACAACGTGCAGCTCAAATGGAACAACTCGCTCCGCAACATCATCTTGCGGTACAGTCACCAAGTCAGTCAGCGCCGTGGATTCGTTTACTACATGTCTCGCCGCGCTGTCAAATTCATCCTTGATATCGTAGAGGAGCAGGACAAAAACAAGCGCAAACAGGCTAAAATGTCTAAGACGCACACTCGAAGCTCGAAAAACGATGAGGACGAGGAAGAAGAGGAGGAAATTGACGAACGAATTTCACAGTTGCTGAATGATGCTAAACGCTACGTGAATGTCGAAGAGAACGAGCCACCGGACTCAAACCCTCAATCAGAGTTGAACTCCCAATCAGATTTGAACCAGCAATCGCCTTCGAACCCCCAATCGTCTTCCAATTCGGACAATTCGAGTGAGAATGAGAACATCGTGCCGGAATTCACGCCCCAGAACAGTTATCACTTGCGTCTTATTGCACCTCAAATCCAGCTTCTCAGCGAAAAGAACCAGAAGTCAGTCTTGCTGGTTGCGGCTAAAGGTATGGAACTCAAGGTCGTGTCAATCATGGACAAAGCACGTGTCGCGGACGATGTCAGTGGTTTGATACAGCGCCGTTTCTTCCTCGAAATGGACGGTGCCCAGTTCTTTGTCGCAACACAGAAGAAATTGATGGCAAATTTGCAATTCTATGCTGGCAATAAGTACGGAAACGCGCCCGGCTCAGCGTGGCCGCCGTGGTTGACCTTGGAAGCCATGTTCGATTTCGAGTTGAATCCATATGGTTTCTCTCGTATTGTGCAAAAGACTTCTGCCACCCTGCGTTATGACAAGTTCAACAACCTTCGCCTCAAGTATAACGAAGAGGTGGCACAGGGCCAGCAAGGACCTCATCCTAATCACCAAGAAGACCGTATAGACTCGATAAGCGTGGACTTCCCTCATTTCCGTGCGATTTGTGATTCTGCAGAGTATTATTCTATGTACATCATTGTCTTAGATCTCATGCTCTACAGCGAACCACTGGAAAAGGTTCGAAATGAGCGCTTGGAGAGGATTATGCTCACTTCCGACTTCAGTGATCTTCGTGGCGCCCCGGAAATGGTGTTCAAGCTTCAAGCACGCATTCGCCAGTTAAAGGAAATCAAAGAGTATTTCCAGATCAACGCCAAGTTCCTGGATAAACAGGGCTGGGAGGATCGGCTGGCTCTTGAGCGCGACTTATGTCAATGCGAGGATGAACTTTTCTTCATGATGAAGGCAATTACAACTTCCCAACGGCGAATGGAACCAAGTTCCTCCAAGGCAGCTGGTGTTCATGGCCTATTACGTTGGAGCATATCGGCGAGTGAGGTCGTGTGGCATTTAATGAAGGAGGCTTCAGAGCCCTTGATCGAGTTCCAGCTGCGCAATGCTTCGTATGAACGAACCGACAATACCGATGGCTCGAACCACAACCTAATGGCCATCGAGCGACTATTCGGATTGAACTTACTTCCAGATGCTATCTACCCTCAAATCATCGCGCCTTACCTCGACGGCACGCGCCCCCTGGATGACTTCATGTTGCGAATAAAATGGCACATGCTGGAGGCTGTTGCCGGTATTCCCGTGCTTGATAACTTCGAAGTTGCATTGTTCCCACTCAAGATTCAGCTCGAACGTGATCTAGGCCAGAAAGTCTTCGAGTACATCTTCCCCAACGTGGGCTCTAGCGCCTTTGAGGCTGGTGGCTTCTCGCCTTTCATGATCAAGAACATGAAGATGTTTGACGAAGGCTCGGATGAAGAAAACGATGATGAAGGCGCAAACGGCAGACCACTGACACGCGCGACGAGTATCGATGGTGATAGCTCGTCTATGGATAGTCTCGCCATCTCTAAGGGACCAGGCTCCATTGAACTACGACTCCAGCCTACACTGTCACTATCAGATGAGACAAAGTCGCGTAATCGCTCAGGCCATCTGAAGGGTCTTGTGATGACACCTCTCCACCAGGATAGTAACCGACTGGGTGTATCGGATACCGCGCGCAAAACAGGCCGTCCCGCTACAACTGGTGGTCTGAGCAAAAAGAAGTCTGCTGATAGTCTGCGCATGTTGACCAGACAGCCCACTGAAAGATCCCTGTCTAGCCACAGTCACAGTACTGGTGAAGACAGTCGCAAGAAGTTCGGAATAAGTAAAGGATCCAACAAGAACGGCAAATCCAAAGTGCCAACTGACGACCTGTCTCAAATGATCTCCCGCGCCTCCAACTTCATGACCCTCGCACGTGTGAAGGTGAATGACGTGGTTCTCTGCATGAGCTACAAGGGCAAAGGAGAGCACAACTTGGAGGATCTTCATGATTTCGTCTTCCGCCTTCCAGTTCTCGAGTACAGTAACAAGACATGGTCTAACCTGGATCTTGCCCTGCGTCTCAAGAAAGACGTGATCAAAGCCCTTATCTCGCACGCCCCCGCCATTCTTGGCAACAAGTTCTCCCACCACCGACCCTCGAAGCAGCAACAGAAGCGTTTCCGCGAGCTTGCATCATCGTCTCAACTCCTGCCAAATACACCCAACTTGATCAACCCGGCCAGTAGCCAAACCCTGAGTCTGGCCAGCAGCTACGACTCTAACAGCGATTACTCGGAGTCACGCTCACGCAAATCGATGCAATCGACTGCCTCACCATTGGCTAGGTCCACCTCGTTGGGCTCAGACGTCCAGGGCGCACATTATTCGGATCCAACCCTCCCTGACTCACGGTCTGCTAATGAGGTGGATGTGGATTCTCGCTGGGAGGTTCGTTTTCTTTTTGTCTCATTGTGTCACTATGAATGTCCCCGAATGCTAACACAGAATGATTAGGCATCGCGTCGATTTGTCAATCCTCCTGCACCCGAGAGACCGATGACCTCTGGTCACACCGTGACTACGATTCGAGCTGGCAAGAATGACCAGGATGACAGGTATGGATCTCGTCACTTATTATAGAGATGAAAAAACTAACCTTATAGTCACATCAAAACAATTCGCAGCATCGGCCGGAAGCTGACATTCCGGAAATGATCGCTTTGCTTCTTCTTCCCTGCACTATATCCCATTTTTCTCTTCCTTCCTATTTTACCTTTTCAAAACCCTGTGATCCTTTGTACACAACCACCACTACCACCTCATTACCACCAGGCCCCTCGTGTCTCTTAGATACCCTCTACCTGCAGCGGGCCGTACATAGGCGTTATTTCATTGTTTCCGTCTTTTTTTCGGTGTGTCTATGGCGGGGAGAAATTTCATGTTTTTATTACCTGGACTGTCTAAGGACACTGGCATAGAGGCGATAGGGGTCATTTCGTCTTTTCTCATAATTTCTTTAGTATCATTCTTTTGACCCTGACATCTTGTTTCCTGCTGGAACAGGTGGTCATTGATTTTCTTTTATACATGTACATGTACCTACACACCGGATATTAGGCCACACATGGCTTTCCCTTACCTAGACTTTATATAGACCAAGTGCCGGAGATATTTAAATGTTTCCTAGTTTAAACTACGTAGACTTACATACATAGTCAACTAAGCAGTTCATGACTCCATATATGTACTTAGATACAAAGGAAACCTTGGAAAAACTGACGCATCACAATCTAATCATCTCCGAAGATCTCCACTGATCGGCGAACGTTGGATCGAAGAGTTACAGCGGGGGGGGGAGAAATTTTATATTAATTCGGGGTGTAACAGCAATCTGTTCTTTTGCGAGGAAAGATACTCTTCAATGTACTTTAGAGTCTTTCATTCATTCTGATCACTATACCATATCTGTGACCTATCACCGTATCCCCATCTCACGGAGCATCCGGATCAGGGTTATTTCCCCAGGTACGGGTAGTGACTCCACGAACAGTGCTGTCAGACCCTGTAGGCTCGAGAGCAAGAACAGTTATCTTGTTACCAGTCTTCTGAAGATAGCACCAAGGAAGGTACAGCGACTGCTGCGGGCCCACAGTCCAATAACGGCCCAAATTGACTCCATTGACCCAAACAACACCCTTAGTCCAGTCGGGCAGCTCGAGGAATGTATCACCAACTGCATCCACATCGAACGAGCCGGTGAAGAAGATAGGTCCTGAAGTAGCCGAGGGCTCGGGCGTGATGCCATCGACAGCGTCCGGCGGCGTGGCCAAAGGCAAGGGGTAGATCGCCCACTTGGAAAGTACACTGTCACCAACGGTGACGTCACCCACAATTCCCTTGCGCTGGTCGGGGATCTCGTAACCGTAGTTGACACGTCCAAGGTTCTCAATCAGGAGGTCGAGGACATCGCCTTCCTTCAGATCCAGGTTGACCGTGTTAGGTGTACTATATGTGTTATCGATCACACCGACTCGGACCTTGTTGACGTAGACGAGGACTCGATCACGGGGTTTATCGCCGGGTTTGATCGCGCCCTTAACGGCAGTTGTGGCAACGTGGCGGTAGAGAATGAATCCAAGTGCCTGGCCAACTGCTTCCATGTTGACTGGGGAGTCCTTCTCGATAGGTTCGGGGAGAGCATCAAAGATAGAAACAGATGGGGCAAGCTTAATGGATGGGATTTCAATCAATGGCTCCTCCACTGGAAGAGCGGGGAGGGTGTCCTCCCCGACAATGGAGCCAATGGTCTCTCGGATCGCAAGGTAGGTGTCGGTCCTCCGGCCTGTTTCGTCGAGAGGCGCACCGTAGTCGTAGCTGGTGGTGATTGGCTGCAGGGCATCAGCATAATCAGCTCCATTCTGGAATCCCCAGTTGGTGCCACCGTGGAACATGAAGATATTGAATGAGCCGTTGTTGTGCAACAGCCAGTCAATGTCCTTCTGGATTGTTGCGATCGATGCCTCGTTTCCACTGACGGATGAGTGACCGCGATTGCTTCCCCACAGGTCAAGCCATGTGACATAGTACTCGCCGTCAATTTGGGGACCGAGACTAGTAGGATCGGTGACATATTTGTCACGAGCAGCGAATCCCGAGTAAATATCGCCGTCCGTCTCAGCTAGGACGCCCGAGATCTGGCCGCCTTTGAGCATACTCTCGGAGCCGCCATCAGTGGTGTAGAAAGGTACATCGAAAGCAGCTGTGAAGATATCCTTCAAAGCGTTCAAGTACACTTTATCGCTTCCGTAGGATCCATACTCGTTCTCAATCTGGACCATCACGATGGGTCCTCCATTGGTGACCTGGAGATCCTTCAGCTCCTCTCCAAGGCGGTTGATGTAAGACTTCGTAGCATCCAGGAAGGGCTGATTGTTCTCGCGGACAACCATGCCGGGAACCTCGCTGAGCCAGGCTGGGAAACCGCCCCATTCGTGCTCGGCGCAAACGTATGGACCCGGCCGTAGAACGACGTTCAATCCCTTTTCATGCGCAAGGCGGAAGTAGTCTGCGATGTTGTTGTTGCCAGTGGTATCCCACTCGCCTTGAGTAGGCTCCAGCTGATCCCAGAAAATATAAGAGAAAATGGTGTTCAGGCCCATGCCCTTTGCCTTTTCCAGGCGATCAGGCCATAGTCGCCAGGGGATGTGTTGCGGGTCCATTTGCCCGCCACGGAGGAGTAAGGGCTCGCCATGAAGAATGAAAGTATCATTATCATAGGTAAATGGATCAATTGCCCGTGCTACGGACAGAAGTCCAAAGACCAAGAGAAAAAATCTTGAGATAGACCCCTGCATGGTTTTGAGGAAAGACTGGGTTGCTATTTTCTAGCGGACCTGAGCGGATCACGTTCACCATTTTATAGGTTCGAACTTGAAACACTTAATCAATGATAGTACTCAATAACATATGAAGATTGTATCCTATATCCGATGCTAGAGGTGTTAGAGGTGTTATCCGAGCCGATTACTACATTGATGCTGATCTTTCAACCCCGCACGCTGCGAGGTAGCGCCTTGAAGTTACAGTAGTAAAATATAGTGCAATATACAAAGTAGACAGGTCTTCAGCTCTATCTCTCCGTATTGGTGGGAGATGATCTTCCATATCATTACCTGTAACTACCTAGGTACATATGTAGCTAACGTCGTTAGGTTACATGTGTATCTTACAATATGGTCTTTCCGGGATATTTATCATTGGCTTGTCCAGGCTGTTTAACGATCCCTGAAGATATCCAGGTAGTGCCGGGCAGTTGGCACGATTACCTATTTTCATAGCTTTAAGCTTGATATAGTTCTATTTGGTTACATTCCCGTCGGATGGCTGGAATGTGGTGAGATTTCCGACAGCCACCGATGCACATGAAGATAGGATCACCCTATTAATGAGCTGTGGCTTTCGAATCTATTTTAATAGCTAGAAGAAGTGGCATGATAAGAGATAGAGCGAAACTAAACCAAACTCCTTGTAACTGTGCCATTCTATGCCATTCTATGCCATCCGTGGATGTCCAGTATCAAGCCTTATCAATGCACGAGTTGATCAAGATAATGATATTCAAACATTACCATCCAATATCAGCCCCCTGATGATCAACAATTTAGCCGGCTTTTTTCAACATAGAACCCACCTGTTATATTCGAATCTTACTAAAGCCGAGATTTGGGGCTCTGCTGATCGTTCATCCAGATACTCCTAAGCTCTACTAAGAGCGTGAGACATGCTTGAACAAAACAACGACCCACTACCACAATCACGTTTACTAGCTTGCTGATGAAATCAGTAATCCTCTGGAGTGTGGAGACAAGGTTCATCGCCGGTGAGATACTTCTAGATGAGACGCTGGCCAGAGTGGAGTTGTAGAAATGGTGGATGTATTAGAAGTATCTCTGAGAGACAGATCTCTTGATATTTGGTGTTGGCCCTGAGATTGCTCTTTTGCGTTTGGTTGCTGCTCTTGAGAAACTTGACAGGAACTTTATACTTTCCCGGACGTTGTCAACCCAGTTATGGACCGAGAATCCTGACATGCTCCCTTCTCGTCACATCTTTAGGCCATGGAGGTTGGGGGGGGGGGGGGGGGGGGGGTGAGTGTAGCAAGATTGTTGGCGTGAGATTGACTATGAACGGGACTTCAGCGGCTTTTCAGTTGTTGTTGTTGTTGTTTTTTCCTTCTCTCTTTTCCCCGTAGAGCACGCTCGTTCTCTATGTAAAGAAGTTGGGGTGGGGGGAACAAGCTCAGGTCCCAGTTGGACATGACCAAAAATTGAGTGAAGAGGGAAACAAGAAGACAGAGAAAGGATGACCCGAAAGCTGGCGATACATGACCAAGTACGTACATCACAAGTGAAGTTAATAGTAGAACGGGTCTTTACTTAAGGAAATAGAAAGTAAAAAGATGTTTGAAAAATCTTCTATATGAAAAAAAAGCCCCCCCCCCCAACACTCCCCAGAGAATAAACAGAGGGTATCTATATACAACGAAACTAGCCTACAGAGCAGAGTAAACCCAAAGATTGTCAAAATCTAGAAAAGACCTCTCCCAAAATGCATTTTCATGTGCAACCAAAAAGGGAAAAAAAAGAAAAATTCATCAGTCATACACGCATACTACACGGGCGATTTCTCCGCAGATAATTCGGCATCGTGAGCGGCAAGGGTTGCCCCATCATAAGTTCCATCGGTAACGTGAGGATCCTCATGAGGGGCACTGCTGGAGGCATCATTAGAGACACCATGAGGTCCATTAGAGAGTCCGCCGGGGACACCATCGGATATTTTATTAGCGTCTTCGGATGGCGTCGAAGGGGAACTCTCCCGATCATCGCGAGACCAGGGCCAGACACTAGCCTGAACGGATGCGAAACGGGTACGTGCAGTGGGCGCGCTGATATCGTCTACCCAAGGGATACCGCCTTGTCCACGGTTTTCTGACCACGCCTTCTTCTCCCGACGCAAGTCACTCTGAACCCAAGGGATTGTGATCAAGGTCCAAATAATAGCCCAGGCAAATGGTAGGGTCCAGCCCAACTGCATGTAAGGTTAGTTTGGTTGCAACTTGAGATTGAATTGATTCCTGCTTACCGTGAATGCAACATTTTCCTGAACAGTGAAAATGATTGCAGTAATGGCCGCGGCGAAAACGATAGATCCTCCACTCCAGAAACAGTTCATTTCGAAGAGCATACGGCGGAAATAAGGACTCGACAAGTATCGAGTTCGGAGAGCATATCGATATATTTGTCCACCACCCCCGTCGACTGCTACCACGTCCTCAATAAGCGCGTACAATGCAGTCGGCATAACGGAGCCTTTTGGAGTGGAGGAAATTCGGAACGGAGCCTTGAAGCCCATCATACGGAAAATGTCGAGGGAAAGGTAAACAATGCCGAAGTAGAACATAACAGTTGGTAGGACCATGGCAATGAGGCGCACTATTTAAGCGGTCAGTATGAAACAATTGCGCAAGATATTATAATGGGTTGGTCTAACCATATGGTTGTTCAGGAACCGATCCACTGCGAACTTGTTAGTTCATTGTTCATGCTGTTTACATGGTATGGACTCAACTTACACGACCAGTTCGACGGCCAAAATCAACCACACAATTGTGAAGTTGATCTGGAAGAAATCCAGCTACCGAGGGGAATCAGTTAACGGTCCACGATCAATCCCAGGTCAAAACCTACCCATGATACGCGGGAGTTCAGGGGTCGGGCGCGCGAGTTTTTGCGGAATAAATTGTGAAGGCGATAAAAGTATTCAAAGACCGAGACTCCTCCGAGTGATGCGGTGACGATCGAGAAGACTGCACAACAAAATTAGCAACGTGAGCGGGTATCTATTCCACGCGCGCAATACATACCCAAGTTGGGCGATAGATCAGTGAGATACCAAAGACACCAATATAGAATCAATGGCTGAGCCAGGGTATCAATTACAAAGATAGTCCAAAAGAATGCGATCGACTTCTTTCTCGTGTGCAATGAGTATGGGAGCGGAGGAGGCTCCGAGGGTGTTGGGACGGTTCCTTCTTCCATCGGTGTGACGATAATGGCGGATCACCGTTGTTGATAGGTTCGGGGCGACGAGACGGAGGGTTTGATAAAGCGTTAAGGGGTTATTAGGGCATTGTGAGCATGTAGCGATAAATCTGAATGGATATCCAAGGAGAAAGAATCCAAGAAAAGTGAAGAAGAGGCGAATGTTATCTGAAAGCCTGGAAATTTTGGCCGGAAACGACGGAGACAGGTACTTCCGTCGTCATACAAAATTGGCTGAGATGGGAGGTACCTCACGTAAGACCCTATGATGTCATTCAAAACACACATCAAACCACCTGGGCAAATTTTGACATTGTCCTATACGTTGTGTTTCTCATACTCCTGAGTGGATTTTTGCCTCTTAGCTGCCTTTTATTTATTTCTAATCTTTTGATATTGGTACAAAATTCGAGTTATTTGTTTCATATCCCACCTAGTAAGTATATGCATTGGATATAAAAGGAGAAATCTGGAACCGATGTCAATATGTAGTAGACATGTCGACATTCATTACTCCGTACCGTATATATAAATAGTAAGTATGTGGAAAACAAGGAACTTCGGGAGACTCAAGACCGACTGACATCGGTCCACTCGGACGCCGATCCCGACACCACCCGCTGACATAGTTTATGCTTGTTCATAAATGCCTCTCTCCAGGGCTATAAATGTACATATGGATAGTAGAATATTCTACATCGTATGTTTCTATACTACGTGAATTAAATGAACTTGCTCTCACTCTTCTTTCAAAATGAGTATACTTAACTATGTATGGATCTGAAAATTTTCTGGCTTCATTGGAAGGTGGCGAAAACAATTTACCATGGATATCTGCTTTTACAGTGTACTTCAGTTTTCGAATAAAGGATAAGTGAATATCAACTCAATAGAATTACTATGGTATTGTTTAATCAAAGAGCCCTGATTGGTCAAGTCAATAGACCCTCAATCATTTTACATGCCTAACAAACAAGGCATCAATAGCTATTGAGAATGATAAGATAAGATCATGTGATGTGACAATTGCTTTGGAAAATTGGGAGTTCGGCGTTCGAGTCCCCCCCTTCAAAAAATTTCTACCCTTCTTTAATTCTCCCTCACTCCATCATCTTTCTTTTACCATTTTTATCCCCCTCATTCTATTCAAAAAAAGCTATGTAGCCATGCCCGGCGTACAACATCTTATCGACTTCGTGCTGAACGAAGTCGCACTCTGCGGCAATCAAGGTGTGTATAGTCTTTTTACTGGGATCCACTTTTCTTCACCCCGGAGACGCATGTCATGTCGCATGTGAATTTTCAATGTCACCGAAAATGTGCAAAGCCCTCTAGTCTGACGGATATGTTGAATTCCTATTGTACTTCCTCTACCAGGACTTTCTCATAACGTTCAAATGACTGGTTTGGGTCTGCATTCTTGTGGCGCTGACCCAATGCCGATCTATATATTCTGCATCTCAAGCCCTGATTGGGCGCTTTTATTCTTACATGTATGCATACTGTGATGAATAGCATTGCTAACAGACATGAAGGTGCAACTTTATCCGATCTATTGCAAGCCATTGATGATTTCCATACTCAACCTCAGGATGGCACTGAAATAAATCAAACCGTTGACCATCGTTTCAAAGACAAGATCTGGTCCTGGCTCAAGACTAATCCAGAGGTGTCTATTGGCCAGCAAAATGAATGGAACCATCTCACATTGAATGAAGCTGAGCAGCTTGACTCACGCAAGGCCGAAAGCGATGATCCCAATATCGTTGATCCCGCGGATCAGAACCCTGACTTACCGCCGCTTCGAATCTATGTTTCAGAAGAGCGAACCTGGCTTGCCATCACTGGTCATCCACCAGATGAGTCCAAGGTACTACCTCTTGAATTCGCCCTACTATCTGTGATTGCTTCTCGCAGATCAAAGGGTATTGTGCAGCCGGATCTGGTGAAGATCAGTGGCCAGGACAAACGGTCGGTTCCGAAGCGTACCGATGCCTTGCAAAGAAAGGGCTACATTGACAAGCGACCTGTTCAAACAAAAACGGCCCGAACCAGCCTCTGCACGCTACAGCGATTCTACCACCACGCTACAAGTGATCAAACAAAGGAAGAACCACAATCGAAGAACATGATTGATTTCGACAGCTTCAATACGAGTCTGTTCGATATTCTCCGAGAGCACCAACTGATTGCACGCAACGATTTGAAACGACTTCTGGGATTTGATGACCATTGGCGTTGGAAAGTCTTGTCTCGTGCCCTCCGCAAGTGGGAGCGGATAGGTGTGGTACAACGCGTGAGAGCCAAATCACAATACGAAAGAATGCATCCTTGCGTCAAGCTTTTACGAGATCCCACGGATCAAGATCTGGAGCTTTTCCATGAATTTAATTTTGATGTATTGAACAAGCATGGAGTGAGAAGCAAAGGACCCAAACTTACCCCGGACCAAGACGAAGACATGGAGCTGGAGGGTCCAAGCCCAAGCAAAAGATCACCCAGCCCAGAGGATGGTGGGATTGACCTGATCAAGGAGCATTCTGGAGATGCTGCACGCATCGTACCATCTTGGACGCCGGATCGTAACCTCAACAACCAAATCTTTGATATTGTTGAAAGAGCAGGCACAACAGGTATCACGAACCAGGTAAGTTCATTACCCACTTTTGTGAGTTCTTAGCTAACAAATAATCAAGACCCTCAACTGGACCTGCTTTGGGAGCTTTTACAAGAGACCCGCTGAAAGTATGGTGCATCGCTTGGTCGACCTATGGCAGGTGGCTCAACCACTTCATCTCCGCCATTACGCTATCGTTCGGGATTTGGCAATGAAAAAGACTATCATGTTCTATGTCCATTATTCGGCAAACAACTTCGCAAAGCTCGTTGACGCTGGCCAAGCATTATGGGAGGCCGTTGAACTTCCAGTCAAGAAAGCCAAATCGCTAAAAATTGAGGCCCCACCTTTCGGTGTTCTTCCCCAGCTCGATGAGCATGGATTTCCCAAGAAGGAATTCCCGAAGAACTTGTTGAAGGATCCAAATGCAACTCTTCTCGACGGGATTATGGCTGTGAAACCGCCCAACTATCTTCTTTCCTCGAGCGATCCGTTTGTTGTTGAACTTCCAAACGGTCAACATGGTATTACCGCCCCTTCATCCCCTTGTTTTTAGAAGAGAGATTGTCATGAATCTAACAGTAAGCCACAGTGATCCGTACACGTACCGATAAGCTCCCACCGGGCTCCAAGCAGCAGTATGAGCCCCGTTTTCGGCCCAAGGGACGACCGAAAGGCAGGCTGAACCGCGCGACTGTGGAAAAGCTTGCCAGAGAAGCCAATACCAAAGGAACTAAGCCCAAAGGATCCAAGTCCAAAGAACCCAAAGCAAAAGCACTTGAAGCCAAAGAATCTGGAGCTAGAGAATCCGAAACTAGCGGATCCGAGCTCAGAGAATCTCAAGCAATTGAACCCGAAATTGAGCCCGAAGTCGCACCCAAGCTAGAGCCAATCCAAGGTTACGGCTGGGAATATGTTGACCAATCTCCACGAGCCAAGCGAGCCAAAATTAAGCACGACAGTTTCAAGGGATTGTCAAAGCAAGAGAAGTTTGAAGCACTTGGCATGGATGAGAGTTGGACCGAATACAAAGCTCTTGTTATGGACAAGCCTGCTCCTGGTGTGTACGTGACTCCCCACGGTCGAAGAAGACCAGCCGGCAAGGCCCGAGGTCGCCCGAGACAGAGTCGAATTGCGATATTTAAATCGCCAAATTTAGCATCACTCCCTTGGTTTGTCAAGGACAAAGATGACTCAAGTGATGATGATAAGGCACGGGATGCTGCTACCACCACTCGAGCATCCGAGAGCCTTGCCCCTGAAGCTGCACATTCAGGTATCGACTCCGAAGCGCCAGTCATGGCCCCCACCCCGAAAATTCCGACGCGAGCCAAGAGAACTCAACCTGACCGGTCAGAGGACTTACCCACACCATCGTCGGGGCTCAAGGCCAATGAGCAGATAAGCGGAAGACCTCCCAAACGGTCTCGTCTTAGCAAGGCCCAAAATGACAGCAACCAAGGACTCTTGAAGGATGTCAATGAGACGTTGCCCGAGGATGTAATTCCAGCATCCCAAGAAGATTCGATCAAAGCAAGCACACCGCACCATCGCGATAAGAGTGCCAGCGTTCATCTACTCGAAGAGGAACAAGTTGGGACTCCATCAAAGCGACACCGCGTAGCATCCCGCGACCGCAGTGGCACTAACCAAACCACTCTACAATCCCCGACACCCCGTCCATCTGATATTCCGACACCACGATCAGGCTCAGTGGCCCCCCAGAAATTCAATTTCAGTGCTCCTGGCACCAAGCCTGCAAGAAAGCCACGTGTTCGAAACAGAGCCAATATCAGAGCCATGAATATTCCAGAAGAGGGAGAATCGGGATCCTCTAAGCCTTCGACTGGGAGAGGCGGATCTATCAGTGTCCTTCGGAGAAAGCTCATCATGGAAATCATGGAAAAGGCTGGTGGTGTATATCCCGCAGGAACTGCAATGTGGTATCCTTTTGTCACTGCATGGATGAAACATCATCCCAACGAAAAACCAGACATGCGAACTATCAATACTGCATGCAAGCAATTGATTGATGCTGGCCAGCTTCGGCAGCTGACTTTCAGCGGCAGAGACACGAGAAAAGTGATGGTGACAAGGACATTGCTGTTGAAGCCCGATATCTCACCAGACGACCCGTTGGTCAAAGAGATGCAGAGCAAGATTCTGGCTACTGATTTCCACGAGTCGCGACCCTTCTTCTCCGTTCATGTCGAGCTTGATCCAAATTTGACAAGAAATAGTGGTCGACCACACGGTGCTCCTCCACGCGCGCAGAGATTCTCCTTCCCCGTCGAAGAAGGAACCCATGTTCATTTACAACAAAAGCCTCTTTCTATTGTGAATTTAGAGGCAAGAAGAAGGAGACAAGCACAGGCGAATTTCATTAAGCGCCTAGAAGCCCAAGCCAGGGCTGCCAAGGCCGCCGAAGATCTATTGGATGAGCTGCCTGATGTGCCTGGAGTTCAGCGACTCATGACACTTGCACGCCCTCCTGAATTGGATCTCAATGCTCATCCACACACATCAATTATCCGTCCGTATATTCGAAAGGGTACAGCTACCCGTGGTCCTGGCAAGCACCCAAAGTGTATCATACATCCAAAACGGGTGATGAAGCCAATTTCCGCTATCGGGGCGTATGCAATGTTGATGAATCCGGTGCAACAATTTGATCCAACTACTGGAACTTTCTCCACAGGCTCATGCTCGGCCAAACGCAGAAGGTCGAAGCCAATGGTAGAAAAGCCGAAGTCAGTGGCAGGAAAACCACTGGCTTTGGACATTGAAAAATTGGTCGATGAGTTAGCTAGACTAGCTCATGACGAGCCAGACCTGTCTGAGATACCCGGTGCTGCCAAAGCCAAAATTTTACGCTCGAGATTCAATCAACAGACCAAGAAGATCCTCACATGGGAGCTTCATCATCCGAATCTCTTTGAGGCAAAGCTTGAAGGCCAACAGTTCATCAACCGAACCGTTCAAGATGGTTTCAAGCCAGCACCGATCAAGGGCAATATTCGCTTCGATATTGACATGCCCCCTCCATCCTCTCCAAAACCGCCTTGTGTAGAACCAGATTTGCCAGCACGGCGTAGCGAGGTCCGTCGCCAGCGCCAGTCTCTACCGGAGCCTCCCGAAATACCCCCTCCGAAAGAGGAGACACCCAAACGGATACCAAAACCACGAAGGACACGGGCCCCACGTGCTCCTCCTACGGATCGTCGTCTGGCCAAACTCGATGATACTGCAACAGCCGACAAAGAAGCACAGCCAGCGACCCCGGCGACCCCCAAACGCGTTCGCCGACAGCGATTCGTGCGCCCTATCTCCGAAGATCTCAAACAAAAGCTGGTGGTTGCTCTTGTCGTTGTTCGTGTGCTTGCAGGCGGAGCAGAATCAAGAGTAATCGATTGGACTCTTGTGACGAAAGCCTTCCCAGATCACGATCCCTCTTTCATTGAAGGGCGAGCGCGTCAGATACTCAATAAAAATCGATTGCAGATTACAAAGATGCATCGAGATTTCCAGGAGTGCTTCCTTGAGGGCTATGAAAGGGATGAAGTCCCGCGCATTGACTATTCCGATTTGGATAGCTATGATTGGCCTGCCCTAGTTGAGTGGGCAAGAACTAGGCTGGATGTCTCCCCATCCGAACGGGCTCCGGACCTTCCAGCAACACGGGAGCAATTCGACAGTGTTTTCGAACTACGTGAAGATGCTATTACAGCAGGCGACGAACTGTACCAGGCGGTGCACGGTGTCACGATCAACCACAAGCGCAATTTGATGGCGCGCAATCCATTTGCTATACCTGTGGATGACGAAAAACGTACCCAATTAGTGACACGAAAGGTCAATACGGCACAGCTTGAGGCTGCGAAGACATGGGTTCGTGCAAATATCATCACCGCAGAAGAAACCTATCGACCCAATGAGTCGAGCGATATTCTGCAACGCTTTGGTGATCGACTCATCACCACTGCGACGCAGACACTAATCAACGAACGTGTCATCAGCTCAACAACCCGTGGCCGCGTCACTCCAGGTCGCAACTACGATATCTCCGAGTATTTCTTGCAGACACTGAGCCGCAAACGTGCCGTCGAAAGTACCCAGCTGCGTCGTGCCGCTCATTTCAAATCAAACACGCTAGATTTCCAATTCCGGACTATCGGTGCATCCGACGTCGAGTACACCGCAGAAGACGGCGATATCCTTGCATTGATAAATCTCTACGCTTCGGGTGCTATTCAAATGCGACCTCGCGATCCCCCCCGCGCCAAGTTCGGTCTCACCGATGGCGGATATGAAACTCGACAGATGGACAAGAAACGCTTCCGTTTCCCTATCGAAGTTACCCCCACTGAAACATACACCTACGGTAACCCCGTCCAGGGCAAAGCTGCAGCGACGATCCTTCCGCCGGCGCCTTCGTCCTCGGGTACGAGAATGCCGCCCAGAAACCCCCTTTGGTACGATATCAATGGAGAGTTCGTACGTCGTCTCTGGGAGTTGGTGCTTGGCCCTGTCCTTGGGTGCCTGGTGATGCGACCCGGCATCAAGGCCGGTAACATTTCTAACATGATCAAGCCCACCATGGGCGCATGGGAAACTGTGCTGATGCTGCAGTGGTTGGAGAATGTTGGCATTGTCAAGTCAGATGGCGAAGGAGAGATGGCTTGCTGGACATTACAGGAGTCATGGTGGATGATTCTTTCTTGATCGTTGTCTCGATCGAATCCGAATGTAATACTATGCACTAACATACTTGCTAACCATAACTACTTCTCAAGAAAAGTTAAGAAAAATAAAAATTAACAAGGAGGTGGTTCACTTCAATGATGTTGTGTACTTGATTTAAAAAAAAGCTATCTAGAGGTATCATGAACTAACTCCTGTAATGTAATCCCAAGCGCCCGCATAGCCGAAAGAAAGAAAACGCTCAATGTAAAGCCCCAAATCCTTTACAGATCGTCCACGTTGGCTACTCGGCGCAATATCAACAAGACAAGAGCAACGACCACACCAATGATAGCCCGATCCAGCCAGACACCTTCAGATGGAGACTCCGTCGAGGTCATTTGAGAGGAGCTTGTCCGCGTAGGAATAACAACCGTAGCTGGGGCTTGTACAGTAGATATCGGTGCCTGTGCGTGTGCCTGTGCTTGTTCTGCCGGCACCGGTGCAGGCGCAGAAGGAGCCTGAGCAGATTCCGCAGCCGGAGTGCTCTCTACAGAATCATCCACTCTTGCCTGGTCCTCATTTTCAACAGGAACATCATTTCCACCTGAAACTGGAGCCGAGGCATCAGCCTCGGCCTCGACCATCTCCGGCTGGCCCTCGACACCAGCACTAGCACGAGCACCCCCATCTATAGCAGCAACCTCACCCTCGACCTCAACCCCACGCTCCCGACAAACCTCCCACAAGTCCCTCATAGCCTCTATATTCCTAACGCCGCACTCACGACAAGACCAATCAAGCGAAAGGCGCGCATACTCCCGACGCATATCGTCGGTCCCCTCCATTCCACCAACCTGACCCTGACTCTCGGAGCTAAAGATCTCAGACCTGATGCCCAGCAGCGCAGTGCGCACGCCCCAAGCCGGCTGCCATGTCTCCTCGTGGTGACCGGAGATGCTGAGACAGATTTGGCGGTTGACTTCGAAGCGGCCGGAGGGCGTGAGGAAGCGGAAGGACGGCGGGCGGAGCGGGTATGTGGCTGGGAAAGTGATGCGGCCGTGGTAGAGGCCTTGGGCGTACGGAGAAGGGGAGGGTGGACCGGCTAGAGTGAAGTGCCAGTCATGGAGGTTTGTGTCGCTTATCGGGGCAGCTGTGAAGTATGGGCTTGGGTTTTTGTGGAGGTCACTGCTTTCTTTTAGAAGGCGGCGAGTTGAGGGGGAAGACATTTTGGTATAGGAGAATTGGAGTTCAATGTTGAATTGGAAGAAGAGGACGGGCGATAAGATAAAAGATGACAGTTGTCCCGGTGCGGGGGATGATGCTATTGGGCAGTTCAGGTGGCAAGGTTGTATTATGAAGAATAGTATTGTCAGTGCATATCTTATGGGAAGTAGCATGTGTTGAGAACAAAAGTCCTGTCATAAAAGTTTATACATACTAGGGCGCATAGGTATGTTTCATACTTATATATGTAGATGGCATAAATCCTTTCACAATAATACAACGCCTTCAAGATGCTACATACATAAAAATGCTATAATCACTTAATTTTAGTCCCAGTCCCGCCATTCGTCAGTGTCACGGCGTATAGCCTGCTGGCGGCCAGCGGCCGGATCCAACAATCCGTTCCCTTCTACGTCATCCCCATAATCACTATCACCGGGCCTCGGGCGCGGCGACCGGGGTGCAAGAGTCTGCATTGACACAGAGGTCGTAGGCCGTTCAGGCGTGCTACCGCGGTTGGGCACCCGTTGGGGCTGTGCAGCACTTTCTCTCCAACTATTACTATTATCCAGATTGCGCTGGTACAACTCGCGGTAGTACTGCTGCTCATCGGTGGACTCCTGTTCTCGACGCTGTCGCATGTGCTCACGCGCTTCTAGGAATTTAGCACTTGGCTCCCAGTGCCAGCCGTCGCCGGTAGTATTGCAAATTGGCACAGCCCAGAGGAGCGGTCGCTCCCCAAAAAGGTGGAGTAGGTTACGCCGCCAGCCGTGGTCAAACGCGCTGGGCATTTTTTCGTTGTCTTCGTCATTTTGGTACGCCTCGTAGCGCGAGTGCTCGCGCTGTCGCTCCATTTCAGCGTATGATCTGGTTAGCGCTTGTTGCGCTGGTGAGAGGCCGTTGTTGTAGCCGTTCGGAGGCCCTGATGGGCGCGGCACGGGATACATTTCCTCTTCGCCCTCTTCGGCCCGGGTGACTCCCGGGATTGCATTGGCATGAGCATCGATGATCTGATTCCCAAATCCTTGTAGTCGGTTGGATAAACTTTCCTCGCCGGGCTCGCCCCAATAGTTATTATTGGGCGCCTGCTCATTCCGCTGTCTGTCTAGCGCTTTGCGCAAAGGCGACACATAGCGTGTCTTTTCCAAACATTCAATGGTAGTGGTGCCCCGTATAGCGAGACTAATATGCCAGGCTGTGAATCCGCTCAGAACTAGTCCAATGATGCCACCCAGGATAGCTAGCAGAACTACATTGACTGGGAGAATAGTATCCATGTACTGTGTATCGTTCAAAATCTCGGTCCAGACCCAGATAGCCGCAATGCCAAAAACAACCCAACAGAATATCGATGTGTAGATCAAAAACAGCAGGAATGCCTTGTAATTATGCAGTCCAACGCATGTTGCCAGCCAGGGACAATGGTGGTCCATTTTGAGAACACATCGTTTGCACGTTGAGCAGTGGTGCGCGCGGTCGGGCTTCGGGCACTGGCATTTTTTGCAGTACCGTGATTCGCCGGTCGAGGTGACGGTATATGATGTGAACTCCGGATGCTCGGAAGGAGGGAGGGCGCTGTACTCATGACGGTCGGCCCCATGAGACGTAGATAGTGGTGACCCCGGATCTGTGAAAACGGCAATAGTATATGAGAAGTTGAGGATGGCGTAGAGGGAAAATGCGAGGATGGAGCTCGGGATACCTGCCGAGCTGTTAGTATACTCGGGTACATAGCTTCGTTCGAGTCTAGGCAACACCCTGCATACCAATCCAGTTACTCCGCGAGGGCTTGATGCCGATGCTGACAGCGACGTATACTGCCCATGTGGTGATGCCGTAGACAAAGGCGAGTGGAAAGCAGCTTGCTGCTGCACAGCAGTATCGTTCGCAACGGAGGGCCCAGGCTCGAGGGCGGCGTTTGGGCCACGAGGGTGAGGTTGGGGGTGACGAGGCCAAGGTGGCCATGATTGAGTATTTATGACACAGAGGAAAGAAGGTTGTGCATCGAGGAGTTTTAGGGGATTAGTCCCATTATAGACAAATTGGAAATCTCAAGACAGGTTTCAGGACCGATTGAGGGTTACAGTATGCGATGAGAACGAGGCCTATCAGGTGAGAGGTACGATACGGTAAACCGAGTACGGTAATTTTGACATGCTCCGCCACAGTCCCAGCCACAAAAGGTGCGTACGTTGGGTACACGAAGTATAGCGTCATAACAGTATTCTATTTCCGGCGACCTTTTTCAGGAACAGGGGATATCATCGAATTGTAGACTATGTACATAGCTCAAGGTATTGTGTATACATATTGGTATCAATGTGAATATGTCAACTCTATTTCAGTCATAATGTTGATAGATTCATGCGAATTCTGCCTTAAAATGCAATGCGGACTATTCTCAAACGTCGAACCGAAAAAGAGCTCAACCGGTTTTGCCGCCAGATATAGTAGTAGTAGCTACCGGCAGGTTGTTCTGATCACACCAGCCATTGACAGGCAGGCAACTCAACCGGTAGCACCAGTCGCAGTTTGAGGAGGGGTATTTATAAAAATTGATGATCAACATGATGAAACCAACCAGGACCGCAACCAGCGCACCAGCACGGACCACCCACCACAGCCACCAAAGAGGCTTACGGCCCTTGAAGAAGTTCAGCGGGCCTGTTGCAGGACCGGGGGTTTCTGTCGAGCTAGAGGTGAGGCCTCGCTTACCCTTGAAGAAATCCATGAAGGAGGTGGTCTTTTGCTCGGGGCCAGCTTGGCCAGCTCCGCCGGTCATAGCAACGTACGGCTGCCGTGCGAGCCCAATCCGCTCGCGCAGAGCGTTAGGCGACCGCATGATAGTCAAGCCAATAGCAAGACCCATTATGAAGCCACCAATGTGGGAGAAGTTGTCCAATCCTGGGAGAAGACCAAGAACGAAGGAGACACCCACTCCGAGGAGCATAATGATAAGCTCAACCCACGGAGATTCGCGCTGGGGCCAGTCATACAGCAGGTCAAGAAGGTAAAGTGCAAGGATACCAAATAGGGCGCCCGAGCAGCCATCGCTGGGATCGAGCTGCGCGGCATAGTTTCCACCAAAAACGAACCCGAAGATACCGCTGGCGAAGTAGGTCAAAGTATAGCGCCACATGCCAACCATGCGCTCCATGTCCGCGCCCATGCTCACCTGAACTAAGAGGTTGAATCCGAGGTGGATGAATCCTCCATGCAAGAAGATGGGGAGGATGAATCTGTACCACTGGTTGGGAGCCGGCCGATCATCCGTCGACCCCGAAACACGGGGGTTGGGAACGCCGCTAAAGCCACATACTTCAGACAATGTGCAATTTCCCGTCGTCGATGTAGAACTTGGACAAGGCCACTGGATGGTTTGATTGGCATTCTGGACCCCCTCGATGTTCTTCATGCACGGATTATAACGCGCTCCCATGTAGATTTGGACGTACGGTGAGGGCCCGATCATCGGATTGAAGGTGGGCTTCGTCTCAATTACTGACCCTGTCAACTGGGCTAGAGTACAAAGGATTTCATTAGTTGATCCGAGATGCTAGAACGGTAGACAGGATCAGAACTCACAATTCTTGACCAGTTCGACAATAAATACGATGATCTGGGCTAATGTCAAGATGTATGTCACCCAGGCAATCTTCTTGCTGAAGAATCCCTTCTTCTTTCGGCCATCACGTTGTCGGCTATCTTCAATACCCCCTGGCGATGGAGGGTACTGCGTCTGTTGGCGCATCCAATCTGGATTCTGTCCATATTGGGGGTTGTTGGTCTTCAAAGGGATGTTTTCTGCATAATTATCGCCTTCCGTTGTCCGTCCGGCTGCCTGGTAATGTCCATTGTCCGATGCGAACGACTGTTGACTTTCTCGATTGTGATAAGGGGCTGAAGGATCATTGTGGTTGTAACTGGGGCTCGCATAGCCAAATCCAGGAGCTGTAGGCGGGTTTTGGTCTATGTTCCCGGGTACAGCATGGTTGTAACTGGGGGGTTGTGGGATATTCGTATTGTAGTATTCGTTGTTGGCCATGGTGGTTGGAGCCTTTGTTTTAGTTTCGGAAGCAGAAAAGCGAATCCATGAGATCTTGAAAAGTGTGGTGGAGAGCTTAAGCGATGGAGGGTATGGAGTATATAAAACGAAGGTCAACCAAGAGATGAAAGAGAGTTAAAGCAGTAAAACAGGCAGTCACATTGCCGAGATGTTATTTTTGGGGCGATCGACGCAATCCCAGCCGCGCGGCAGTGGCTGTTCCTCTCCGCCCTACTAAGGCAGTGGAACGCTGACGGCTTTTGGAACTTTTGTAGTGGCTGATGGAGGGGCTATACACTCCTCATTAATTTGTACCTCCCTTTTTTTTTTTTTTTTTTGTAAACCTTGAATTTTCGGAATTTTATCATTTTACCTATGTTGTATGTATATACGGAGTACCTACTCCGTACCTAGTCAACAGTACCCATATCCACCGCACACGTGTCTTTTGTAATTCTATTGGTTTGACCCTGACATTTCGTCTGAATTCTGCCGGGGTTAAACGTGTACAAGGTATGTTGTATATTTAAAGGGCGAAGGGGGGGGGGGGGATTTAAAGAAAAGACATCAAAGGAGACCACAAGAAAAAGGCTTTTGAAAATATACATGATTTGGCTGTATAAGCGGCGGACTATTCCAACGAAATTATACTCCGTACATGTAGACTCTACTACCAACTAGCCTTACTAGCCACAGCAAGGGCCTACTAGCCACATAGGTCAGTCACCTGACCCCTTCATTCCGTGGATCATGCTAGCTTCAACATAGCTTAATCTATCTTCCTCATTACCCATGAGTTTCCACTATATTGTGTAGCAGGCTCTATGGAATAATAGAGAAATTGATACAGAGTAATGCTCCATACCCCACAAGATGATGCTCCAATGTGGAGCAAGAGGTAGGCAGGGAGATCTATTATTGAGTACTACGTCTTGTTTTTGAGGCACTTCGTGCGTCGTCCCCTGTAGACTCATCTCTTGCTATCACTTCTTCAAAATAATTGTTGGTGATGCCCCTCTCGCACCGTCCTTACGGAATGGCTACATAGAAGATTATCAATTACCGACCGTACGACTTTCCCGCCTTATTGTACTCCGTATTGGAAGGGTAGCTCGTCATCTCCAGGCTCTCTTGAGCAAGACTGGATATTGTTTATCTAGGAAACACAGCAGGCACAGCACTGTATACCTACCGACTCTAAGCCCGAAACATCTTTTTAGAGGGTAGAAAAACACCTAGATATACTATACCTCTTCTCCTTATAGTTGCTACCTTGCGAACTCCTTGCAAGCTGTTGCGAGATATTAGCCTTGTCCGAGAAAACCCCGAAAGAGGGTGAGGGTATACATCGTCATGCGGGGTCCTAGCTAGAGCTCTAATGATAAAATAAACCAAATTGTATCGAACAACAATCTCAGATCAGCATCATGAATTGAACAGTGCGAAAAAGACCAATTTAATCGAATTAATAGCCTAAATGTCCCGAGATTTTGTTCGGAGATGTGATCGGCCCGTGTTTCTTCGGAATTCTGCCAATGATGTCATCGCCATGTTTCATTCTTCCCCGCGCCTGCAACATCAAATATTCAACCACCACCATGGAGGACCCTCTCATTCAAGCATTGCCTCCGGCTACGGACTACCTGACATATCTTACTCTGTTAGAGTACCAGCTAACCCCAGCACGTCTACCGCTTTTACACACTCTCCTGCAAGATGAGAAGCTTACAACGAACATCGGTTGGGACCTGGTTAAGCTGCTCCTACCCATGCTACCAGCGTCCACAGAATGCCTACAAGATGTGGCTCGACTAGGGAATCCTCGAGAAGTGATCTTGCGCGTCTCTGAATCTCTGATGCAACTTCAGCCGGAGGATGAGGATGAGGATGAGGACGAGAACACTGATCAGGGACTGCCCCTGCACATCCTACAGTTCAACTGCCTTCTCGGAATGCTCTCGGTACTTCACACACGAATTCAGACAAAAGCCCCGAGTCGTTTCGTGGCAACCTCTCTCCAAGCAGCACTGGAAGCGTATACCACAATGGCGACCAACGAGACCACCCTAGCCTTCCTTGAATTCTTCCGCGAGATCTCTCCCTCCAAACGGCCTGCACCACCACCCAGAGCTGCTAGCGAGTCGAGCATACTGAGGGTTGCCGCTGCCTCAGCCCCAGACCCCGAAGCCGAGGTATCCTCGCCCTCTCCGTCTGCTGATAACGAAACCCTCCTTGTTCGGAAATTCATACAGTTCGGCTTGCTTGAGCTGGTGAAGTCATATCTCCTGAGTTTCTCCAGTCCCATGGATCCGGGAATGTCGTGGACCATTCGAATGCAAGAACACCTCCATCCGGATCTGCGGCTACCTGCCGCCCAATCGCAGACTGAGGCATATGGATCGATCAAGGAGCTTAAGGAGCGCGATATGATCATGGGAAAGATTATGGTAAATAAAACCAAATTATAGATGACCAATGTCTGGGAGGATGAATCTGACTTTGCGTTTTCTCAGGCTTTATCCCGTGACGTTGGAATTGACAACGAGGATCTCCTGTCAATCATAACCGCATCCCCGACAGATCAAACTGCTCAACTTGATTTTGATGAGCCACCAACGAACCCCGATCAAATTCCGCTAGAACGCCATGGTTCGCTCCTCCTACTAGCAGCTCGGGCTGCAGGCGCAACCCTCTTTGCCTCTGGGCAACCGCTCCGTCAAGTATCTGTCTTCCCTGAGCTGGCTCAGATATTTAACAACTTTGTCGGCGGCCACACCAATCTCGACGAAGTGGCTTTCGGTCAACCCCATGCACTTCTCGACTCTTTGCTGGCTTTGACTGTCTACGCTCTGCAACAGCCCATCAAACCGCCGTCAAGTGATGCTGAGTTCAAGGATTTAGTTGTCCTGTTGACCGCATGTACAGCGCGCCAGAGCCATGGCATCGTTCGCCAGATTCCGGCTGCCATTGTCCAGAGTCATCCATTGCCTGAGACGCGGTTTAAGCTCATCTACAAGATCTTGGAAGATGATCATCTTTCTTCGGCGCGGGATAGCGCCATCGCATGGCTAAAGGATGAACTACGCAGCAGCTCCACCCAGTCCGCCGACAATGTATTCCAGGATCCGCTCTACTTCTGGGCTCTATTCCCAGCTCTTTTCAAACCCGTCGCTGCGGCCGGTTCAACATCCGACCTTGTTACTAGATGGTCTCATCTTACCCAAACTCAAGGCCCACAGCTCCATTCCGCATTGAGCCTGTACTACTTGTTGCTTTCCTCGTCATCTCTACGCGACCGGCTTCATCTCGAGAAAACCGTCAAGTTTTTCCGCAGCCATGTCTTAAACCCTCTCCGGCAAGCATTCCAGAGCTTTGAGGCCGATCTCAGCGCCAAGGGAGGCGATGGTGTCATCGAAGCTGCAGTTGGGGAGGAAATGTGCCAGATTGGCAATGCACGTTCTGTGGGACTGATTGGTCTTACGCTAGATCAAATTGAGGAGGCAGTCAGCGATGCATTTGGTTCCGATGAGGGGGATCTCGGTGAATATTCTGAAGCCGAAGAGGCTAAGGTTTCCGAGATTCGGAAAACTATTGATATCTGGAAATAAGCACAGATCCAAGTTACTTGTACAGAGTTTGAGTAGATACGATTTTTCTACGAATCAACGCTTTCATTATTTTTTGCATGTAGTATTTGCACTGAGGGTCACGATAGGCATGTATAAGTAATGATTTTAGTTCAAAGTAAGGCAAGCCTTCCAAAATAAGAAGGTGGCTACTACTGACGTTTCCCCCTAACTATACACTTGAACTACAAAAGGCAAGAAAATCCTTTGAGGAAGTCATCCATTCCTATCAACTACCATGACCGATTCTAACTAAGAAATAAAACCCTATCCATCAAAGCCACCCACCAAACAAGAAACCAGAGGAACCCGCACCACAGCGAAGAAAAGAAACACAATCAACCGATTTTGGACTATGTAATGGAAATCCCCCAAACGTAGCTGAAGGAACGAGAAAGAAAACCCCATCCTAAGAAACTGTTGTCACCCGGATCGTCCACGAAGATTTCGAAAGAGTAGAACAAATCAAGGTCGACGTCGTTAGATATTGATGAATAGTTCCTGCTGTGGATTCAAGCAGAAAGATCATTCAAAATGAAGGACTGTCAAGAGAAATGAACCGTTCTCGTCGAAGAAGGAATGAATTGGACAGCCAGACCCGCAAGGAGTCTTCACAAAAGCAAAAGCAAAGCTAAGAGGTCATGTTTTCGAGGGATTGATATTTTTGGTTGAAAAGTTGAAAGTGTTCTCAAGAGACCGCGGCGAAGATTGTAAAATTAATGCGTTTCAATGTCAACCATGGCGACCAACGAGCCTGGTCAAGCCATGGTGGTTGGTGGAATCTTGGAATCGGGGGCGCTCATGCAGGGTGTTTAGATGTCAGTGGCTATCCAAGACATGTTAGTATATCAGTCATTATTTGGAAGAGTAGATTGTAACTTACGGTTCATGACGACGCAGCCGCCACCGGGAGACTTCATGAGGACACAGCCACCGCCGGGAGACTTCTTCATGCTGGGGCAGCCGACTCCGGGGGTGCGGGTGATCACACAGCCGTTGGGCATGGGAGACTTCATGACGACACAACCACCGCCAGGGGACTTCATGACGACGCAGCCACCGCCGGGGGCTATTAGAGATGATATGTTAGTATATGAATGTATAGAAGGGACGATGCAAGTAGTGATGCTTGGAGGTATGTTGCTCACATTGCTTCTGGACCTGGGAGCGAGACATTTCGAAGATACAGAGGAGCTTAAAAAGCGAAAGCTTGAAAAGATTAGAATGTTCTTTGGAATGATCGAAGTGTGAGCGGGTGGTGGAGAAAAGAATTGAACCTGGGTGTATAGGATGATATTTATATTCGACGAAGGACTATTAATATCATCGAGATCCCACTCGGGGAATTGACATCAATGCAGATAGTACATTGAATTGCTGACTTGGATGCATTGGGCATTGACGAAGCCGTAAAATCAAACTAGAGTGCCTAGGGTTGGGATTGTGGTGGATGCCCATTGCGGAGCCGTTTGATATTGTTCTCGTATCCATGAATGTAGGCGTCGCTGCCTCGGGCATTTGCTCTTTGTTTCGATGGTACGAAGTCAGCGCATTCTTCGAGGGACGTTGATATTGACCGCTCCACATATACTCCGAGGCGTCTTGGCTATACGGAGTACCGGGGTTGTCTTTCATAAAGGAACGCCACAGAGATGGCCGAGGGTTCCCTGTTCCTAGGCACGTGTAGTTAGCACATTCATAAGTCTCTCATGAGGGTAAGAACAATATTAAGACGGGGGTTCAAAGTGTGAAAGAACATTTCGTAGTATGTGTTTTTTGAGTTCACCCAATGGGGATGGCCGGACAAAGGAAGCTGAAGTTGACCAATCGCCACAAATACATTCCGCTTACGATTGTTCCTCAAGAACAATATCAACTCGGGCTTGGCATCATATGGATTTCAGATCATAATGTTTGATTGCACGGAATCGAGTATCGGTGTCATTTCCACTCGGGGACATGAAAGAGAGAAACCCGAACGAGATCGCTACCAGAAGAAAAAAATTTACACTTCGCTTAGGCACGACAATTTAGCGAATAGAAATGCTCAAATTCAAGAATAAATCAGGCGCAGAATGATAATAGTCCCAACTTGGCAGATACAATCTGCCTCTTAGGTATAGAGTGGCTCGGTCAAGTCATTCAGAGTCAATCCTTGCTTGGCGATATCTTCCTCGATCAAGAACATCAAAGGCATTTCAACCAGAGTACCCTTGACTTGGCTGAGCAGCTCTTTGACCTGTTTCGCTCCCTCTGCACCAGGCGCAAAGTCATCACGCACAACGTGGCCCCATTGGAATCGCGCCGGACGTGCAGCTCCTTCCATACCCTCGCCCCTCTTCCCGGTCTTGTGGAAATAGTACTCATAGAACTCTTTGTACTCAGACCAGTTGCGGACTGAGTCATCCGGAACCGCGTGGAATACCTTCCGGAAGACCTCGCTGTTTGTACGCGCCCGTGAGTTCCAAAGGCTCTGGGCAGTGTCGGAAAGCGGATCAGCGACGACCTTGCTCTCAGGGCAGTCAAAGTCGAATTGGTTGGGAACGCCAACAGGCTCGAAGTTCGCATCCGGTCGTTGATAGTCTTGCATTGGCAAAAGACCCAGGTGCTTCCGGAACAACTGGCGGCGGAGAGATGAAGCAAAGCGACTAGCGGTCCACGGCTTACCATTCATGCTAGATGCCACAGGCGTGAAGTCTTCGATAATGACTGCGATCTCAGAGTCATGGTCACCCAATTGAGAACGGTCATTCAGGTTTGCGGATCCACAAACAACTATACGATCGTCGGCGATCATCACCTAATGGTCTTGTTAGAAGTTTGAACAATCATCGAAGTCGGCGGGAAACAAACCTTTGAGTGAACGTAAAGCTCTTCGCTCACAAACGCATCAATCTCAGCATCAGGGTGGCCATCCCACGGTACTTTGCGAATATCTTCTCCGCCGAGCATATAGCACTGGCTCACACTGTCCCATTTGTTCGAGGAAGCATGGCTGCCCTGCACCTGGTGTGCACCCTGCTGGTACTTCTGGAACGGCGCGGAAGTATCGAAAGCAGTACGAGCGGTGCTCGGGGCATATCCACCAGGGCCCGCAGTGTTCAAATCATACTGTCTGCGGGCATCCTCGTAGTTTACACCACTCTGCTGTTCGGCTGCAGCCATCATACTACCGTTGTTGATCCGATCGTAATTGCGAAGGTTGTAGAAACGGATATACTCCATGGGGTTAAATCCTTCTTTGGCAATCATCTCCATGATACTGTGACCTCCGCGGTTGATGGAGTTGTATTGGAACTCCATAATCGCGCGTGTTCCCAGGGTCTCATCATCTCGCAAATCACCGGCAAAGCAGGGAACGGACGGAATGACCACAATGATCTTATATTTCTGACCGGCACGAGCAGCACGTAAAATTCTCTCCACGATTGCGGCACCAATCTGGTTTTTTACTGGACGCTGCGAATCACCGGTCGCAGTGATAAAGAACTGGTTTTCGATGTAGACGAAGTGCTCACTGTTTCGGATGATCGCGCAATATGCGTCCGCAATTGAATGCTCAAGCTGGCTTCCATTGCTCCATTTTGCACAGCTGCGTACAATCTGGCATGACATATTCCCTCGGCCTTGCGAGGAGGAAGGGCGACCATATGTGGTCAGCCGATCCTGGTATTGGTGGATTTGTCCAGCCAGCTGACCACGAAGGGAGCTGCTGTATTGGGTCAGGTTCTCTTGGAAGCGACGGGGCACCAAAGAACCTCGTTCGCGATCACCTTCATATTGATAATCATCCATTCCACGGGTGTTGGAGTGTGATGCTTCCTGGCCTGGCGGGGGTGCGAAATATGGTTGCTGGCCCTGCTGCTGACTCTGTTGCTGACCCTGCTGATAGGGCTGATACGAGGTGTTGGAGTGTGATGCTTCCTGGCCTGGTGGGGGCGGGAAATATGGTTGCTGGCCCTGTTGCTGACCCTGTTGCTGGCCATGTTGCTGATCCTGTTGCTGGCCATGTTGCTGGCCCTGCTGATAGGACTGGTATGAGGTATTGGCAGGAGACTGTGCTGGAGGAGGTCCAGGCGGGGGAGGAGGGAATGAGCTCCCAGTGTAGCTATACTGACTTGCGTCATGGCTCGGGGATTGGGTAGAGTGAGGCTGATAGCCTTGAGGGCTTTGACTTGGCGGAGGGGGATAGGTTGAAGCATTCCCAGGTTGGTGCGACGTAGGCGCGCTCTGCTGTTGGTATTGGGGCTGGTTTGAGGTCTGAGCCGGCGGTGGCGAATAATTGGAAGTGCTAGCACTGCCATAAGGTTGATATGCCCCAGCAGATTGTTGATGCTGAGGCTGCGACTGCGACTGCGGCTCTTGATGAGGATTCGAGGATGTCTGACCTGGTGGCGGCGGGTAGGTAGGCGATGTGACTCCACTGGGCTTCGTCTGCCAGGATGGCGCAGGTGGCTGACCCTGTGGACTTGACTGTCCCGAGGGGTACAAGTTGGGTTGTGCAGAACCAGCCTGCTGTTGACCAGTTTGGCTAGTTGAGGAAACGGGCCTTCCATGTAGTGCCAGCCTCGTGTATCTAGAATCACTGCGAACCTTGTATTTCAAATCATAGATGAAGTTCCATCGCTCCACAAAGTGACGGCGCAAGTCTTCCACGGCTGCACCGTGTAGACTCACAGATATATCAGACCATCCCATCCGAGACATGGTCTTTCTATCCAGCTGGTTATTCTCCCAGTGAACAACATCTTGGAAATCAAGGACGCGAGAATTGTTGTAGTCCTGGCCAGGGAATACGGTTTGGTTGACATCCGAAGGATGTAAATCCGAGAGCTCATGTTGGTTTGTGTCCCAGCGGCCGAAGCACATGTCCAAACCACCCATGAACGCAACCCGACCATCGATCAAGCAAAGCTTCTCGTGATGAGCCCAATACAGAATGACATCATCGTTCATTCCGTAGAGCCCCTTGAGTGCATCCTTTGACATCTTGCTCAAACTTGCCGAGTCGAGTGACATATTCTGGAAGGACGATGCAATGGAAGCTCCCAGCTCTTGGCGGTCAGGCAGGTGGTCAGGGTGACGGAAGACAGCAATATTGGGGTGCAAATTTTCTAGGGCATGTTTTGTGTGAGAGGAAGACACTACATGGATTGTTAGTTGAACTGTTTCCAATGGATCTTTTCAAGAGTCATCGACATACGAGTGAGCGCCTGCGTGACCTCCTTATAAACAATGACATTGACGCGCACGCCCCGCTGGGCTGCAGCTTGCAGCATGCGATCTAATCGGTATTGTTCATTCTTTGCAGGTGGCCTTCTCAAATAAAGTTCGGGGGATAACCACCCTATATCAAGTTAGCTTACAATAAAAATCCGGGAAAAAGGTTGAAACTCACAGTCCAGAATCCAGATCGACTCTCGGGCATTTTCCAGAGCTCGTGACACAGCCCAGAAATAGCTGCACCCATCCACATACCACTTGGCATCGTTATGTTCCCGGGGAGGAGCGAAGCTACCAAATCGATGCTCTGTGTTGGGCTTGCTGGGACCATACTCGGCATATGCTTGTGGGTCGAGGGTGGTACCAATCTTTTGAGCGAATTCAGAACCAAACTCGGTCACAGTACCTTGAAGTTTCCCCAAGAAACCGGCCAATTTATCGTCCTTTGGAGGTTTCCCACTTGTATTTTGGCTCTGCTGATCATATCCGTATTGCGGTTCGGTCTGGGTTGGGTAACCCTGCTGTAAAGAACTGTTCAGTGAATGCGGAGGACGAACGGGGGTTTAAACCTACGCCTTGATAACCACTTGGATTGTATGTCTGGTTAGTCTGGCCATGTGAGGATCCGTGACTCTTATAGGTGTCGCGGAACTTCTTGAAGGTGTCACTTAGACCGCGGGATCCATCTCCGGACCCACGTTCCGCGCCCTGATAGTAACCACCATAGGCCAGATCATCCTGCTTGGACATTCTGTCAACGTAGTTTGTAGATAAAGCAGAACGAAAAAACTTTGAATAAAATGAAAGAAAGAGAAGTCAAGAAACAAGGGTGCCTGCAGAGCGGGGTGTGACTGTTTTAAATCCGATGAAGGCCCCGCTATGTACCCAGCCACGATGGGAACGTGGTGAATGTGGCGGTGTACATATACTGCATAAGCTGACATGATGCCCATGGGTATCTTCCAAATTTGGAATATTACTGGATTTCGGTAATAGGATAGGTGCGACAGGTGAGACAGTGTGTGAATGTGAAAGTATAGTTTACGTGGTACTGGCCTGAGGTACGGTAAAAGGATATGTCGATTGAATATATCAACACATTTCCCCCCAAATCATGTCCTATTTGATAGTTAAAAAAAAAACCAAGAGAAATCATCAAGCTACGTATATATTCATAAAATTATGAAAAATTCCTATGTAAAATAAAACCGAGTTCGATTCCAAACATGAGTTTATAAGTACGGAGTACTCCTGCTCTCGGAAATGCGGGCTTGGCATTCCCCGTGGAAGAGAATCATCTGCACGACTCAACTAATGAACGTTCATATCTTAAAATAATCGTGCAATGCCAGGCCAAGTAAAACGAAGCTCTCTTGGGCGACCTCGAAAATCAGCCGAAGATGCAAAATCCGTGAGTCCCTTCCTGCAAATAAAGACACCAACTCGGTCTCACCCCTGGCACAGACACGACGCGCTCAGGTTCGTGAAGCACAACAGGCATACCGATCTCGCCAACAGTCCCAGCTCTCTTCATTAAAAGCTCGCGTAGAGCAACTGGAAGATATATTTGACCACCTGCGCCAGACCATCCATGCATTCGACAACCAAGTGATCCGGGGTGGGTCGCAGTTGTCTCAACCTGAACTTTTCCAGACAGTCCGGTTGTTGCGGGATGATATAGTATCCCATTTCAAGCGGGCGGATATTCCTTTTCAAGAAGCTCCAAATAACCTAACCTCACAACCATCCCAGGTTGTCAATGAGCAATCCCACGCGCAGGTCGCGTCCGAGGTGCCAATGAGTAGATTAAAAGATCACACCGAGGGGTCTGATTTCTGGAAACTGTTTTTGGGCTCGTCCACTGGCATGATTCCATCGACAAAAAACCAAAGCCTAGACAATCAATCGAGTGACTTGGTTCCTATTGCTGTGACACCATCTATTGCTGAAACCCACACCATCCAATATGCAACTACATCCTTCACCCAACGGCTTTTCCGCGCTTGCGCTGAAAGTGGTCATCGGTTTTTGTCAAATCCCTCATATAAAGATGAAGATATGTGGGAATTTGGACTATTGTTACAAAGAATGCCACGAGCAGAGGTCCGAGATTATTTCGGACGTGTCATCAGCATGGAGCCTTGCCATCCTATCATCGATGCCCGATTCCCATATATCAGCATCGGCGGAGCAGGAACACACTTTTTACCACCCCCCAGCGATGCTTTTTCTGATAGCTTCGCCCTCTTCCGAACAACAAATGGCGTGTCTCATGTTCCTGCTGATGAAGACTGGTTTGATGTGCACGATGTCGAGAGGTACCTGTTCAACCAAGGCATTCGTGTAGGCGAGTTTCCTTCTTCCGCTCTTGCGATATCTTATCCGTCTAGTCCAGACGCCAGGCCTTCAATCTTGGAGGTTCCCCAAGGCGCAATACCCGGCAGTATGATGATGGTCGTCGATGAGTATAAATTGGTTAGCCGTACGCTTACCCTATTATTTGCTATTATTTTCAGCGTAATGATAAATGCTAACCTAGCCAGGACTGGCCCAGCTTCCAGTTGCGCTGGGCTGTGTGGCTGGCTTTCGCCGGTCTGATGTTGAGCGGGTAGTATCCCACAATGTGAGGTGGACTTTAGTTTGAGTTGGTAGCTCTCTATGGTAACACTGTGTGCATTCATGTCTTCCAACCTGCCCAGCATCAATACCATACTTTCTCTATATACACGCACGCACAACAACCCGATGAGTCAGACATTATCTTGTTCGGAACTATCCACCTCCCCTTTGGTCCATCCCAAAGCTGGGTGGTTGCTATGATCTCTTTTCTTTGGGCATATGGCCCTTCAATGCCAAGATTTCACATCAAGTACTCTCAACTGAGCTAGATACCGGGCCATGCCGGCGGAAAGATGTCCGACTCATAACCTCCTCCCGCCAATACCACACCGCCGCCGCAGTCGCACCCGGTCCAATTGCCATGGAACCCAAAATCAAACCAGCCAGTGCCATCTGCCAGGAGACATTAGAGACACCAATGCGGTGTAGATCCCATACGCTAACTAGGCACCAGAGGAGAGTTGCCGCTGCAACAAGCAGGAAGTCGTTCTGGAAAAACACAAAAACCCCATCTGCAAGTGTCGTCACCTGTGCAAAGGCATCGGATGGGATGAACACCTTGGTAATAAAGTTTGTCCCCAAAGCCGCCCAGCTCAGCAAAAATGCCACATGGAAACAAGCAGATACGCCACCAGCCACAGCGTAGAGGGTTTGCAAGTGTGGGATGTCACTGTCAAATTTGCCCTCCGCTGCAGAGCTATCGGTCTTGACTGGTGTGCTTGAACCGATCGATTTGATGACACGGGAGAATATCTGAGTCAAGATAACCACATATATCGGAGCGGGCTGCCACAGCGCAATGAAGATTTGTCGCATGTTCAGGGAATCGGCCAATGGGAAGAACAACATGATTGTGGGCACGATGAACCCCAGTGCCAGTGCAGGCAATATGGCTCGAGCAGTGGATTCAGGAAGTGTGCGGGTACTTGGGCTGAAGTATGACATGCCAGAGGAAATAAAGGTGCTCGATACGAAATAGAGCGGTGCAATCAGTCCAATACCTCGCAGCTGATACAGAACTGCCCATATACTCGGAGTTGCAAGAAGGGTCCATTTGTTCCTTGGTCGGAACCCTTCAACCGTCAAGATAGCGATAATCGGCAAGATTGAACTCAGGAAGTACATAACTTGCAATGGCTGCTCCGGTGTAGAGAAATTGGTGACCGCTGGCAGGAATATTGTCACAATGACTTGCAAAATGAGGTCAACAGGCCCGAGCCCGGTGTAAACCTGGCGAAGGGGGGCTTCGACTCCTCCTGGAAGTAGAATCGACTTGCTCTTGATTGTCTGGCGGACCAGCTCCATTGTTCCATTCGCTCTGATTGCTGTCGACAATTGGCGGTAGCCTAACCAGGTTAAGAGGAAGTACGCAGCGTACAACAAGATGCTTACCACGCCCCGAGATGACGGTGTTCTGAAGCGCTCGTCAAAATACGGGGCTTCTCGAGGCCTGTACGGCAGCGGAAGCATGTCTAAGGACACTGCGGAGCCATACGTGTCGATCCATTTGTCGAGGATTAGGGACTTGGGCAGCCGTGGCAGCACGTATCTCGCCATGAACTTTAGCAATGGTGTTTCCAGGCACTCCAGACGTTGCCGGGCGTGGGATGCTTTGACCAATGTCCAGGCACGATTTTCACGCTGTTGTTGAACGCCCTCAAAGATTTTGGAAATTTCTGCCGATGACAGCGTGCCTGACTGGGACTTTTTGAGGGCCGCAACGAGATGATTCGTTAGGGATGCGGCGGTCTCCATTGCATTATTTCCTCCCTGGCCTGTCAAAGGCTCAAACTATCAGACGGAACATTAGTCAGTCTTTGCATGATCTTGTTCTCGGGTTAGTAGGCAGTCTCACCTTGTGACTGGCATCGCCGATAGTGATAGTTCTCTGGAAATGCCATTTTTTATAGACATATTCTGGCAGACTGGTGTATACTGAGGCGATTTTGCTCTTGTACAGAGCGGAAAATTGAAGTGTAGGAGTGATCTGGTCATGGAAATGTTCTTTTGCCAGTGTCTCTTCCTCCTCCTTGCTGAACCGAGGGATGTCTGCACCATAGTACGTCTTTCCCATATTTCGCACGAGAAACCAGTAGGTGAGATCTCCAGGTCCGCTAGGAATAAGATACGAGTAATGCTCATTGAACACTGAGTTCAGCACACCTTTCTCGATTCCCTCCACTCCTTTGGAAATACCGAAGATACATGCGTAAGTTGCAGGCAGTGCTTTCACAAAAGTCAGCTAATACTTCTCAACTGACTTGGGTTTGACTTTCATACCAGATTCCTCTGCGGGATCAATCCACGTGGGATCTATCTTTTTGGCCGCTTTCCACATTTCTTGACGCACTTTGGAATGGATTCCATCTGCTCCGACCATCATATTTCCGGTGTATACTTGGCCAGTCGTTGTGGTGACTGTGGCACTCGAAGTACCATTCTCAATACTCTCTACCCGCTGAGAGGTGATCACTTTGGACTTATCCTGGATCTTTTCATAGAGCACTTGTATCAACATTCGTCGATCAAGGAAGACGACAGGATAGCCATGGCTGGATGTACTGTCAGTTCATTCGTTTCGATATCGGCATATAATAGTGAAAGGCGACGAACCTTCCCATTGACTTCTCGTTAAAGTCCTCGAATGCCCAGAAGGGTTGTCCTTGCGAATCCCGGAAGAAGAATTTTTCGACGGGTGTTTCTGCCATCTTTAGAACCGACTCATAGCAGCCCAGCTGATCGAGAATGCGAAAGCCGTTTGGCAAAACGCCAAAACTAGCTCCGACCTGGGGTGCAATACTGCCGTATGCTTCAAGGACAACAAAATCGATGCCATTTCTCTCTAGCATCAAGGCTAGCGAAAGCCCGGCAATGCTGCCACCTACAATAACGACTTTGAACGGTTTTTGGTCCATGGTGTTGGGGTCAATAGGTATATCGATTGATCGTAGGAGAATTAAAAAAAATCAAATGTGGATTGAATTATCCTAGGTCGCATTTATATACCTGATGCAGTGCTCGGGCCGACCTTAGGGGTTGGTCCCCTGAAACATTCTGCTATGATAATAAAAAGTTGAACATGTCGATCATCTACTGAAGCGTCCAAGTCGGGAGATAAAACACATAGTGATCGCTGATCAATGAAGGTTCCACTGTGGACCGGAGGAATTCTTTGAATGATCAATAATCAGATCAATAATCGGACCAATAGGAGTCCATCAGAACTACCTCAGCAGCTAAATAGATCCACCATCTGAATTATCGTGTGATTCTATTGGATACATCTATATGTATACAGTAGAGTCAGACAAAAGCAAAGAAAGTATTCACTACACTGTACACAGGTCAATCACCGAGGCTGAATCAACCAGTCTTACTTTTCATGCATTGCTTGTGCTCTTAATATATGGGGCAATGGATATGTATTGTAGACTAGCACTAGTATGGTTTAACCCGTTGAAAGAGTTGTCTTGGCTTTTGCACCTCAGACATATTGCCAACTGGTCTATATAATCTCTGAAATTGTGACGTGCACAGTTCCATTCATTATGTGTGATGCATTATGTACATATGTACTTCGTAGTAGGGCTCGTTAATGCCAACGTACCACGTGCACACATATCTGCCAACCTGAAGCTTTTATTCAATGCTAAACAATTGGTGTAAATTAATAATGGAACTAGTATGACTACCTAAATAACTACCTAGGTAAGTGGATACCTAAATAGTAGCTTGATCTGCCTAATAGAGTAACTACCCCGGACGCCGAGGCCGAGCCCGAAAAACATCTAGATGTTTCAAGATTTAAGATTACTTTGAGCATGAAAGATAATTCATTGTCTACAATCTGAGTCTGTGAGAGTAAAATAAATTGCCACATTGTCATCTTTACCAGACGATCTCCTTCGGACCCCTTACTGGCCACTGCCGATAGAAATGACAACTATCTAAGAAGCTTTCAGTCGCCCAGCAGTACTTTCGCGGGGGAGCTTTCAGTATACCGCGAGAGATAGCCTGATGCAGGTAAATAGGCTGCTTCAACATCCATACCTGGCGAATCTTGTAATCATATGTGGGTTGCTTGGTGTCTGTGTTGGATACGGCCTCATTGTGTGATATACACACCACATACTCAATAAGCTGTAGTGGAGCGGTGGTGTAGAGCCAGATGCGGCGAACAGTGGCTGGGAGGGGATAGCTGCGATAGACATTGGTTCTCCTACCGCGGGCAATCTCTAGTGCATCTTCAGGTGAGATGCTCATGAAGATATCTGTGGTTGATTTTGTCTCCATGGTGATAACAGTAGATGCGCTTGGTGGTTGATTAATCCTATTATGAGATCAGGCTTCTTTTATATGCAAGTGGTAAGTGGTGATTAGCGCCTAGCTGTTCTGCTTTCATGCGTTCTTTGTTCCATGATGACTGATATAAAGGCTTTGTGCATGTAAGGTTAGCCCAACCAAAAGCATTTATAGCCAGGTCTTTGAGGCAGAAAGACTAACGCATGGTTTAGTTCCGAATGGTGCCTTTGACATAGTGAAACAAGCATGAAAACTAAAAAATCCTATGGATCAGGTTTGTATCTTTATTGGGATGAGCACCAAAGGATAGGTTAGCATTGATAAAAGCATTGGAATAACCTAGCCACCCATGAAAGTACGTGTTGTATTCAGACAGCTCAGAACACTTGATCCAGACTTCCCTGATAACATAAAAGCTATGTCTTCCACTCGTACAATATTCATCCAAAATGGCCTCCCTGTTTTTGAGGATCATATCTCTTCTGCCGGACATGCATGGTGGGTGTCAGTAGAATTTCTACCCCACGAGGTTGAGCACTCCGATGAGGACTTGATGAATATTGCCATTCAACGTCTGCGAAACGGATCATTTAAAATCACCAAAGGTATCGCCATGCATCATCAACAGAAGTTTTATGTGTCATTTCCGGTGGATCTAGATCTTCCTATGAACCACTGGGCTGCTCTAGCCATAAAATACGCCGAACACTATAGGGAGGATATTATTGCTGGGCGTGTTTCTATTGATTTAGAACAACTTTTTGGTCTAGGGTTGTTTGGTAGTCCTAAACCTTAAAATATCTTTCTGTATCTGTCGCTTGATTCCGGATCCAATATCTCAGCCAGTCTAGTTTTTGAATCAATTCCATTGTTTCTTAATGTTCAAATGGCATAGATGGAATTATTCTATATATATGTAAAGTGAGACTGTTGCAAAGAAAATCATCAGAAGTATCGAAGTAGATTGAACCTGTCTAATCTATATTAATACCTTCAGCAGCTTTTTTATGCTAAATTGCCATATGTTTACGTATCTATCTAACAGGTGGCTGCTTCTATGCTATTGAACACCAGTCAAATAAAAATAACGCAGAATAATGATTCAATATACATTGTCAATTTATCCATGATGGTAGTACATAGTATCTCACAGGCTATACTTGAACAGAGGGCTCTTCTCTTCCATCGCAAGAAGCTGCTCTTCGGTATACTTCTCCTGAATTTCAGCCGCAGTCATTCGAGCGTTCCTCCTGTTTGCAGTCCAGAGACAGAATTCCAAGGATAAAGAAGCCACAATTCCAGCAGAAGCGAATGCAAGTGAAGTACCATAACCAGTGGGATATCGCGGCTTCTCATCATCTTTGTAAATGAAGCTCCCAATGATCCCACCCGCATTACCTGCGCAAATAAGATAACCAATGGCCACGGCGCGCTTGTGAGGATTTGGAATGTTGCAAACATTCCAAGCGTTGACACCGGGGAGAATGGGATACATTCCGAAGCAAGCGAGACAAACGCCGAAGTAGCACAGCCCCATATTATTCTCGATGTCACCGGCCTTGGAAAATAATATTCCGAACGCGACGATAAGTGAGCATTGGGGTGCCAAGATGAAGGGCATTCTCCATGAGAAGCGATCGGCGAACACGGAAAATCCGTAAGCTGAAAAAGCGCCGATGGCATATGGAGGAATAGTGAGGAGCTGGGCGTTGGCTGATTCGTAGCCCATAGTTTTGATGATCTCAGGCATGCTGAACTTGAGTGCGTAGTTGGGAACAGCATTGGACCAACTGGCAAAGATGAGGAAATACATCTTCCAATCGAGAAGGACGCTCAAGATGAGCCGCTTGTCGAAGCCTTCGTGATGACCACCGTGATTATTGGCGGCTATTTGACGCACTTCAAGATATCGGATCTCGTCTGTAGTAATCCAACTTGGCGACAAGGATGGCGAGTCTAGAAGGAGGAAATAGCAAGCAACGGCCATGACAACGGTTGCAATACCCTCTATGATAAAAATCTGGCATTTATGTTAGAACCGAGAAATCAAATAGATGAGAAACGAAAGAACAAACCCAGCGCCAGCCTTCGTAGCCTCCCGCACCGTCCATTTTGGCGAGCCCAAATGCCAGCAGGCCTGAGAAAGCACCGCCAGAGGCGGCAGATGTATACAGAATAGCGATACGGGTCTGCGTCTCACCTGGGAGATACCATTTCGAAATCACCAGCACGGCACCTGGCAGAAAGCCAGCTCTGGGCAATTGTCAGTATTGGGAAAACGTAATCTAATGTGATCGGGGGATATCACTCAAAAAGTCCCAGAAGGAAGCGGATCACCACAAGGCCAGCAAAATTTTGAACAAAGCCCGTGCAAAGCATGATCAGACCCCAGCAGAAGATCAAGAATCCCAAATATTGCGACGGTTTCTTAAGTCGGTTCAAGATCATATTACTCGGTACCTCTTCAACTACGTCAGTAGATATTCATGGGTTTCACAAAAGACTTGCGTACCAGCAAGGACGTAGGGTACGAAAAAGATGGACAAGGCAATGTTGTATTGTACACCGTCCATGTGTAAACTTGGAAGAAGGCCCTCGATCTTGGCATTTCCTGTTGAGAGTGAGAAGATGCAACGCGTGGCACTTGTGAATTGACATACCAATGTTTGTCTTATCGATGTATGCTACCAAGTACAACAGAGCAAGCATAGGAACAAGCCTTATCTAAAATTGATATTCAGTCATCATTTTCGGGATCAATTGGAGCGAGATCAAGATAAACACATACGTCAACCTACATGTACCCATGTACTTTGTCAGTAAACTTCTTCATAACGCTCATCATTGCACTCACCTTTCTAAGGACTGTCTTTTTCGCTTCATCCGAAAAATTTGACAAGAACTCTGCATCCTCAGCAGAGAGGCCACGGCCTGCTTGGTGCTCCAGGTGCACGACTGCACCGTCTTTGTCGCTCATGATGGATCTAGTTGGTATCTGTAATAAAATCGAATATTGACAGCGCGATGCGAGATCATCTTATAAAGTAGCGAGAGCCTTGGCAACCCCATGGGGTGAGTATAGGAAGATCATTTCAAGGGCAATGCAAACTGGGGTGCATTAGCAGCCTTGGCAGCCCCGGACTACCCCCGGACACATGCCGGTCCGGTGTGGCCTTTTCCGTGAAGTCCGATCCGCGGCATTGAGATCTCAGAGCCTGAGTCAAAAAGTGGAGCATCGCTAAACTTTGACTGTTCTTATGGAACTACAGAGAAACATGTCGGGGAAACTGAATTTGGATCAGGAAATGGGAAGATGGCCTTGGGGGAAATTTCAAGGTTAGCTATTACCACGAGGCCATCAAATACTCTAGGATTACACATACCGATGAATCAAGAGTCTGCCAGTCACTAAACAGAAAACTGTCTAGCATGCTTGGCATCATTCCTTCCTGCGCAGACCCGAACATATCCGGATCATGCAAGAATGGAAAGGCAACATCTGTGCTGGCATTGGTTTCGCCACCAGGACGGCCACCTTGGTGTGGATACGGCGGATTTCCCCTCATGATTCGACATCTTTGGGCCTCGGATCTCAGTTCGTCAAGTATAACACTGTATCGTTGGTTTTGCGAAAGACCGGTAGATGCTCGCTTGAGATGGCCGTGGCATTTCTCTGCGAGATCAAACATTTTTCCGAGAGATTGATTATCTATCTCGTCGGTGGGTCTTGTGGTTCTCTGAATTTCCCAGACATAGACAACTGCTAATGCACAAAATATGACATAGTGTGTCCACCAGAACGAATGAAGCAGTGTACTATCCCCCGCCATTTTGTTGATGAGCTCTAGACTGGCCTTTGTGGCAGAGAGGCATTCGGTGGCATTCTCAGACCCTGCTTCACCCAAAAGGAAGGGTCGATTGGTGTGGATGAGAGCATGGGAATATGCGAGCTGCAAGGCAATAGCTTGACGCCGGAAACTGGGAATCAATGTTGATGGTTTCACAGTACCCAAGTGTGGTGGCAGACTTGCACGCCACTCGTGTAATTCACGGCTAGATCGATGAGCAGCTGCCAATCGATCTTGGTTGGACAAGTCGCTGACTGAGTATACTTCTCGTGATACCTTTCCAATTATTCGTGCAATTCTACAAATGGGTTAGTAAGTAGAATAACATTGTCATGGTGGGCTGTAATATGTACTTTGCATGAAATATTAAAGCATCAATGTAACAATCGGCTGGATCATCTGAGACGGAAGGTCCCTGTGGGGTCATATCCTCATCATTGACACTATCTGGGAAGTTCTGATCAATGTCGTCGTCTTGATAAAGCCGAGGCCGGCCAAATACAACGCTAAGATATTTGTCAATGATGTATGCCGCCCAAAAGGTGCGCTTATAGCATTCCGTAGTGATGTAATTGTGTCGCCTGCTCGTGAAAGGAAAGTCCCGTTTCTGATCACGTCGCCTGTGCATACCCAAAGAGAGAGTGATATGAAATGCGTTCCCGAATGTATACCAGCCTTTATTCATGCGAGCTGTTTGGAGAAGATAGAGGACTTGGATGAGGCGTGCCTGCGCTGACTCAAGACGAGGGAATCCCATCTCCATGTCGGTCAATCTCATACCAGCACAGAACAAGTGATCGCTTCGTTGTAAAACAAGTGATTCATCTTCCGTAGAAATTCCCCCATGCACTTTCTCAAGGCGCAGGGTCGCGATGGCCATAATTGTAAGGAGAATCGCGGTTCTGGAATTACCAAGGGACTGAGCAATCGGCCTTTGTAATTGTCGATCCTTCAGGAACGTCTCCATCCAGCTTTCAATGGTTTGCCGGTGGAACATACGGTAGGTCACAACACACGTTTCGAAATAGAATTCCTGTAGCTTTCTCGCTGTGGGAGCATCTGGAATAAAGCTGTCTGTCGCGCTATCATTGACGTGAAACGGGCGGTCTCCAGCTGAAGTGAGAAGTTGATTTCGCTCCGTGTCGTTCGAGTCATATGATGCAGACTCATCGTTTTGGATCAACAATTTTTTCCACGCTCGGTGTAAAAAGTTCAATCCTGAGGTAGGGTCATAATATTGACCCTCGATTTCGATTTCAGGTGAGGCGCGAGAATGCACTTGTGAAGTCGAGACCACATGGGCGACAGGCGCTGGTTGCTGCCAGATAGCAACATCATTTGAAGTATCACTTCGTGATCTCTCTTGGCGTTCATTGACTGTGGTTGAAGGTGGTGGAGTCGGAGGTCGCCCTCGCCCGTATTTCGCGTCATAGGCGCAATTGAGCTTTCGCTTAGAACAGTTGCTGCATGGGAATATGCCGTCACATCGTATTTTCTTTTTCTTACAGGTATCACAGGCCCTACTGATCTTCGGATCTTTCCGCCGGTTCTCCTCGTCCCCGTCTATATTGGTCGCGGCCAAAGGGCGCTTACCCGAAACGCCTCTGAAAGGATCAGACACTGGCAACGATGCCTGTACAGGAGTTACAGAGGCCATGACTGCTAGTGGGAGTTCGTATGCAGGGTGAACGGATATGTCGGGTTCAGATACCAGCGAGCTGGATGCGGGGAAACGGATATTGTGGGGAATAGCCGGGGAATCCGAGAATCCGAGATCGTCTACTGTTATAGCTCAACCTTCGCGTTCAGCCCATAACCCTGGAGGCATCTAATATAATTTAATGTTTCGGCAGTGGAATGAGCTCCTTTGTTTACTAATGGTCTATCCTTTGTTGTCATATAAAAGTGTTTGATTTTTACTTCTACCAATGTCCTAATTTATTTGAACATGTATATCATTGAAAAAGAGATGCGATTTGCTTCGTTTATATACACTCGGAACAAAATATTTCATGCACGACATTCACTTTGAACTTGTATCACAGGACAACCTTACTGAGCGATGCGGCATTGATAGCAGCATGAATCTCCTCCTCCGCGCCAGCCTCAAGGGGCAGAAGAGGTGGGCGAACGGTGGCGTGAGACAGGATTCCGCGAGCAACAAGAGCATGCTTGAGTGCCACAGTGCCCTCCATGTGAGATCCACGGTGGTAAACACTCTTAGTAACAGGCAACAGCTGATCATGGATGGCTCGCGCCTTCTGGTAGTCCTTGGCCTTGCCAGCCTTGATGAGTTCGATGAGAGGCTCGGGGGCAATGTTTCCGTATCCAACCAAGAATCCATCAACATCAAATGCAGTGTGCAGAAGGTATTCATCGTGGCAAGAAAGAATTTGCAGGTCAGGTCGTTGAGCACGAATGACGGGGATTTCTGTGTCCCATCGGCGCATGTTGCGCACACCGTTCTTCATGGCGAAGCAGCCGGGCTGAGCAGCGATATCCAGCATGGTCTGCAGGTTGTAGGTGGCCTTTGTGTTGTCGGGGTATTGGAAGAGAATTAAGGGAAGACCGGAGACTTCGTACACGCGGCGGTAGCGGTCTTGAGGAGCACCGGGCTGGTATCCGAAACGCAACCAGCCGTGGGAAGGGTAGAGCAAACCAGCAGCTGCGCCGGCTTCTTTGGCCCGCTTGGCCTCGATAGCAGCAACTTCAGTGCCTTCACCAGTGATACCGGCAATGATGGGCACTTTGTTGTCAACGGACTTGACGAAAGCCTTGATGACGGAAACTTGCTCTTCAACAGTGAGGAAGGTGCCCTCACCAGCGTGGCCGAGAACGACAAGGCCCTTCACTCCGTCGATGCTACCGAGCCAGGAGCCAAGACGTTGAATAGCTTCATAGTCCACTGCACCGTCTTCAGTGAAGGGGGTGACCGGAGCCGGGGTCAAACCGCGCATATCAAAGCCGACCATTTTTATGATTGAAGTGAAGTTCAAGTGAATATTGAGAAGGATGTTTTGTGATGATAACTTGCATCTTCGCGATTATGGTCTCTTTTATCTCTTTCAGGAGCTGTTTGGTGTTCGCTTGACCTCAGTGAAGGGTTGGGGGTAGTCCACCCGGATTCCCGGATTCCCGGAAACGCGGGACCTCAAAACATCGTGTTGTACATTGACCTTGCGACATTATGTCCGGACTTCTTGGCCTGAGATCCACTTGAGTGGGCTTTTTCATGTGAGGTGTTCCAAAGTTGATGTTAAAAGCTCTCAAAAGCTCCTAAAAGCCTTATTACGTACTGTAGTGGGTCCCGGGGTAAGTAGAGGCCTACAGGTGTCAAGATGGACTTTCTAAGAATGTTGAATTTGTCGGACTTCAATATAGCCCTAGAGATCAAAGATAGCTTCGATTTGTATGTCAACAACCTTCTCCCCTCTTTACCCCTCAATAGTACGTATGAATGTAATCTGCCAGATGTGATTCCCCAGTCTACAATAGTCCCTACTGACGTATTTCACATGCGAGTGGTCCATCCCAAAACACATAGTAAATGCGATATTTTACAACTATATATCTCAACAACCACGTTGTTGGTTGATTTCATTGCCATTCGATAACTATTGTAAGACTTTTGAGCAATATATATCAATTTTAGGAAAATCTAAAAGCTGCATTTTGATGATATTAAAAATTACCTTGAATTGTCTTCCGAAAAGCTAGGGAAATATATAGATCTCAACCACAAAGTCATAAATATTTTCCAACCCCTGACGAGAAGCTACATATCACCTAAAAGATATTGAGCTATTAGGAACACTCTATATGAACTGCTGTTATTTAGATATCAAGTTGTAATCGCATTTACTATGTGTTTTGGAATGGATCACTTGCTTGTGTGGACCATTGATGTGAAATACGTTGCCTAATATAGTATGAAGTGACACTAAACCATGTTTTGACCAATAAGCACAGCCTATAACAAGAATGAGACTAGATAGACAAAGAAGGTCTTGAACGAAGAACAAAGGCTGTCATAAGAGCTGCAAGGTCATGTCTGTTCTAATTCTATTCGATGTCCATCGCATTAAAAGCGCTATACGGACGATGAAAAGTAAAGAGCAATGATATATCACAAAATCGACATACTGACAGGATTATCATAATCAATATTTGCCTCCGCACTCTCAATCCGGGGAATGCAAGTTCCAAAAACCCGATCCCAGACTCGTGTTTGCTTTCCATAGTTATGGCTCTTCTTCCATCCCCGACGATGATGTAAATCGTGGTCTTCAATCACCAACTCGGCATCGAACATCCGCATCAACCAGGTTACAGGGTTGGGTGGCGATGCATGAAGACGGAGACCACTATGTCCAGCCAGTTCTGCAAACATAACGTACAGCTGACAAACATGCCATTCATAGAATCCCATCGGCATGCCCATGAGTCTCATCGTGAACCATGTCATCAACGGAATACCGGCAATGTCAAAGAACTCTTGCTCCGAGTCCGCGTAGATTGTGAGCAGTGGGTTCGGGTGTTTCGTGAGGTGGTGAGTGCGGTGGAATTTCCAGAGACCATTCACATCATGCATGATACGGTGATACCAATAGAACCAAAAATCAAGAATGATGCCATAAAGACTGATCTCAACCGGCAGCCAAGCCCAGCTGAGCGAGGCAGGGGCTTTGTCTGCATCGTAGGTAAGGCAGATTGTCATCAGTGGACGCACAAACCCGGCCAGCAGAACCGAGATCAAAGCCTTCGAAACGCCCACATCAGGCACACCATCCCGCTCGTGTTTGTCACCGTCCAGAAACCCGTGGATATGGCCAAGCTCTCGGAGACTCCGCAGCTCGCGTGTCGTGAACAGTCTTGAGGCGTAGTAGTAGTAGAAGAAGGCGATGAGCGGGTGGAAATTATATCCGGTGAAGTAGCTAAAAAGTTGATGGGCCAGGATTGGGGCTCCTGCATTGACAAGAACCCAACGGTTTAAAGACCAGTCAGATACGTAGGGTACTTTATCTTCCTTGGGATGAATTGGGACATCCCTGTTGAGCTCGATGTGGTATACGTCGGCATGCTCAAAGATTTTGTGTGGTAGTTTCCACTGGTCTCGGTCCCAAGTACGCCATGTGGATTTCATATTATCCATTGGATTTGGAGGGGTCGCCATAGTGAATAACAGTAGGTCTTTTGGTGTTCAAGAACAGACCAATTCTGAGGATATAGTTCATCTTTATCATTCTGCTAATATTCATATGCCATATGGCAGAGACCGAGGTTTCCTGTAAAGTGTGCATGTGGTAAAGTGTAAATGGAAGGTTTGTTGATGTCTGTTTCCCGCTGCTATACTCTATGAATGGCACTAATCAGGCAAGTGGGGCCATAGTGAACCTTCATTGGCTGGTCGCACTGGTTTCCCAAAAGGGTTTAGATTGATCGGGATTGTCGATCATTTTTCTAAGTGTGATTCCGAGGTGCTTTGAGGAGTATACCTACGAGAGTTACTCGGATATTGCTACAAATCAATTTAACATCTAGTGTGAATTTCATTGATGGTTCAATTATCGGCCTGTATGATATGCAACTCCTCAATGCCCATCTTGGTCCGAATTATCAAGAGCATGGAGCTCCCAAGCTTGCCCAGATGATGTGTGATCAAGCTATCAATCTTGCCTAAATATTCGAATATTACACAAGAACCATCTCTTCTAGAGTATTTGGCGTTCTTTGAGTCGATCCGCGTTATTTTGCGTATATAAAAGCCGTTTCTCAGCCATAACCTAAAGCATTCTATGCTAAGTCGCAGGATGGCGTGAGGCCTAAATTTATGCTTATATTTAGCTCCAATTCTTTCAAATCTTCAAAAATGTAGGTGAAAAGTGTATGATTATCACGACACAAGATGAATGGAATTGCATTGCGGGAAACACCTCCATAGGCTAATGAATCATTGACTTTACATCGAACCCTGTTTCCCCGCAGTACATCCGTCCCAAAGTACCTGACATCCATCTTCAACAGCCAACAAGCATCAGCCTTGGAAATATCACCGCAAAACCTCAATCCATCATTGAAGATCATTTACACAAATCAATCCATCATGTCTCTCGCAACTCTAGACGTGAGAATACCCTCCATCAACCCGCAACCCCGCTGACCTCAATCTAGACTGCAGAGCACCCCAATCTCCCCGCCGCATGCACAACGCTCTTCAAAGCCAAGGCAGCTCGCCAGCTGACCTTTGAGCAAATTGGTGCCCAACTTGGTCGCAATGAAGTAGCCACAGCTGCTATATTCTATGGCCAGGCCAAGGCGTCGCCCGAAGACATCAAAAAGCTAGCCGATATACTTTTCATCCCCGAGCAGCCTTTGAAGGAACAACTCACCGGTTTCCCCGACCGCGGTCGCTCCGTCGAAATGCCGCCCAAAGAGCCCCTGATCTACCGACTGTATGAGATCGTGCAGAACTATGGCTATGCCTACAAGGCGGTTCTCAATGAGAAGTTTGGGGATGGGATTATGAGCGCTATCTCGTTTTCAACCAAGGTTGAGAAGGAGACGGACGAGGATGGTAATAACTGGGCTGTTATCACTCTTCGTGGCAAATGGTAAGAATGTCTTCTCTATGCCTGCTGAACAAGCATCTGACGAATGAATAGGCTGCCCTTCTCTCGGTTCTAAGCCAGGAGGCCAGGGGATATTACTAGGGAGTAGCAAAGCTATCGAATTGAGATGCATTTTGTGGCTCTATTCTTCGCATTTCATAACCTAGTCTCTTAGGAAGGAGCTACCTCGAGGTATGAATCATTTGGTGACGTCAGCCATGGCAACCAAAATGCGGCTTGTTTGACAAGACCTCATCGATAAATCCGACGCAGGACGTGATCGACAGCTATAATCACCAAAATCCGAGCTAACTGGAATCCATAACTGATTGAGGCAGGTCAAGCAAATCTATTGGAGACGAGGATTGAATCATACATAGCAGCCTGCATGTAGAGTTACCTGGTGAGACAGACACTCATGTTTAATGCTGGGACTGCATTTACATTAATTATAGCTTGAGCGTTATGGCCTCAAAAGGATGGACAGCACTGAGACAGGAAAGGGGAAAAAAAGGAAAGAAGGAGGCCTGGAAGGGAGGAAGAAAGATGGATGGGATGAAAGGAAAGTATTTTGAATAACAAATGTCACCAAAAAAGACTTCCAACATCAACAAGCAAAAAAATCCCTATTAATCCAGACCGTTCCTGGACCTCAGGAGGGTATGGACAGAGTCTGGTCACTCGATGTCCATGGTCCTCTCCTCCGGCCATTCCCCTATACACCTCCACTCACCGTACTAACTACGGCCTCCCCCCTTAACTAACGGGGTCACCGCGTGTGGTAGTCCGCGGGGGGCTTGCCTAGCGTAGTGCTTCGGGAGAGCTTCAGCATATAGGAGTCCGACCGACAGTGGGGAGCAAGTAAAACCCGTTGCGACATCCTGGTGTGGGATGCCCCGGCCATAATGCCGCTGGGCCACTGGGGAGGGCTGGTCATTATGTTTGTTCTTGTGTGCTTCAAATATGCCCAGAACTTAAGAGAGATGTCACTCGGGATCTTTGATCTTCAATTTGTCTACCTTCCTGGTCTTGTATCTGTCTCAAATTTACAGTATAGAATCCAAAGGAATTGGGCTTTTAGCAGATGAAATTTCAAGAGAATCTGAAGACCTAAAAATGGTGGTTGGCGGCCACTCTGAAGCTCGGGTACATCTATATCGAGTCACAAATGAGGCTATTCGGACGCCCATTTTCGGAAGGAACAACGACGGTGAGGATCAGGCAAAATCTCAAAGCCAGGCGATCGAGTCCAGGATTCGTCAAATAATTTCAGACTTTTTTTTTTATTCCCCATAGCTTTCGTCAACATATTATCCAATATCAAAACACCATAACCTCTTCCCCTATGAGACCACCGGTTTTCCAAGGAGAACAAAGCAATCATTTTGTTTGCCTCCACTCTTCAGTTTTCCCCCTGGGATTGCTTCCTTGGTATTCTAGCTCTGCTCACCGACCCCTCCTTCTCTAACTCTTGATATCCTACCCATCCTTCATTGATACGGGTCACTCTATCACACTGACAGCTCATCAGAGTCTGCGATGGCGGAAGAGGTGGAGGAGGTACCTTGTACCTTCCAGAGCTGCAGACTTAGCTTCAAGTCTGTCAGTGAGATGCAGCACCACAAGGCCAATGCAGACAGACATTCATACTGCATGAAATGCGACCTCGACTTCCAGTCTCAGCAAACCCTTCATTTGCACAAGATTATGAGCGACCGTCACTTTGCTTGCCCCGAATGCTGTCTCGAGCTCCGAAGCGAGGCTGGCCTGGAGGTTCATATGAGAAACGTGAGTCTTCATATTTCTGCATGGTGGCATCCACATAAACAAGAAACGGTGCTAATAAACAATCTATTTCTTAGAATCATCACGAAGGCCGCGAAGTCGCTTGCATGGGTTGTGGTTGCAAGTACAAATCTGCCGCTGCAGTCATCAAACATATCGAAGACAAGGAGTGCCCTGTCCTTTCCCTGCCAGAAAAAGCCCGCAAGGGCACCAACTGCGACCTTCATGGCACAGCAAGCGTTCTGACTATAGGCAGAGATTCTCCTGGTCCACAGACCCCCTCTGATACCTCCAGCTCCAGCGAGGACCAGGAGGTGGAGGGTGGCGTTCTACTGGATCTCTCTACACCCCGTATGGAAGCAACGCGCCTTTCTGGCGATACTAATGAGGCGACCACTCCTCGTAATAACTGGCCTGGACTAGGCGCTCCAATGACCCCGCTCCAAAGAATGGCAGGAAGTAGCTCCACTGAATCACCCGGCGGCATCATCTTTGACGATATTTTCGTTACCTCAGTGCACCAAGAAAGTCCTTTCCTGTCTCCTCGTGGAGGCATTGAGCAGTCAGGCGAGGCAGGTTCCTCTGAGTCTACCCGGATTTTCCAAGAAGCAGGCCCCTCTGGCTATGCTCGTCCCACTCGTTGCCGAGCCACAGCTCATCGCAAGATTCAAGGCGTGGATCCTGAGAGCTTCTGGAATGCCGAAAAAGGTCGCTACTACTGCAACTGCGGTTCATCTTTCTTGTTCATTGCCACCTTTGAGTACCACCTCACGATGGAGGATGAGACAATCAATGAGTAAGTATATTTTTGCAGTCCCTTTATCTTGCAAAGGGATTGCCTTTAACGATCCTTTTTTTAATAGTTGTCCTCGATGCTTCAAACGATTTAGGACATTCGCTGCACTCGTCGCGCATATGGAGGCTCGGTACTCTAAGTGTGCTTTCCGTGTGACTACTGGGCAAATTGAACAGGAACTCAGCGAAGTTACTCGTGGCTTTGCCCATATCCCGCGGATGATTGGTGAAGAATCGGAGCTGGAGGAGATCGCTTTTGATGTGAGTAGCCAACCTGAGCGCAATACTCCCGGATCTTCGGATGAAGACGCTGCATCTTTGAGCGTGGATTATCTCTCCTCAAACCCAGGGCCTGTATGCTCGAATGCAGATGATGTCTCTTCGAGAGCAGAGGTTGTTGGTTCGATTGTAGATGACGTCTCTTCAAATCCAGAGGCAGTCTATTCGAATGGAGATGATGTTCCTTCAAATGCAAAGGACAATGCTTCAAATGTAGATGCTGTCTGCTCAAATGCAGATAACGTCTCTTGGAACGCGGATGCCGTCTCTTCGAGTGGAGATGCTATCTCTTCAAACGCATATGCCATCTCTTCAGATTCAGAGGCACTGTCATCCAATGCGGGTGCTACGTCTCCCAACGCACAGGTTGTTTTCTCGAATATGGAGTTTCTAGTGGGTGGCTTGGAGGAAATTGTCGTTTCCGATACGCACAACCAAAACGAAGAGGACGATGAAGAGGAAGAACTTTGAGAATGCGGGTTGGGATTGAGATCAAGGGGCGAGTTTCCGAGAATGATCGTTGAGGATGGTATCTGGGGGATGGTATCTGGGGATGAACTCGAAGGGTGAGCTCCAAGATTATCCACCAAGTTTCTACTGATTGAAGTTAATTCACATCAAGGAATGATAGAAGGGGAATTTATTCACTTTTACATAGTTCCATAGCGCAATCACCTTGATAAATACCCCTTTTCCGTAGTAAAGACAGTATAGTATATCTGTTTCCATTAGACTGCGCAACCTCTAGGTGCAACTATAAGAATAAAAAACGGCAGTATGGAAAAGAAGATCAGAAAAGAGACTGAATTTCAATCTGCTCAGCTAGAAAAGGGAAATGGGTATGTAAAATTTGAGTCCGAACTCCATTTTCAAGCAAAGGCTCCAGCAAATAACTAATAGCAGGAGTCATAATTCAGTAGAGGCATATGAAGCATAAAAAGTAGAGCAATAGCACCCCTCGAGCCCGGTTATTTCCCACCTCTCAGTATCCCATCCCAAAACCCCAAAAGGTCAATCACTCGACGAGACAAACGTGCAAAGCCGTCGAGCATAGAGCAAAGTATCAAAGATATCGAGAGTACCAAGCCGACGGTGTGTTAGAACTACTGCACACCTAGCAGCATTCCTCGCAGCACTCGAAGCAGAGAAGACCGGCGCAACTAGATGAATGTTAGTTTTGTTTGATAGTCTGTGGTTCAGACGTTTGACTTACACACCGCAGCAGACATCGCCGGCTCCGCCACCGCGTAGATTCAGCATATTCTCCTGGGGGTTCTGAGATGAAATTAGTTGAGCATTTGCTAATTTAGGGATTTGGGCATTGTATGGCGTACGGGCTGCTCGGTCACCATGCTGTCGGTGGAGAGGCCCTTTGGGCTGGTAGGCTGATTTTTCTCGATGCCAGTGGCATCAGTAGCATCCGAAATAGGGTTTGGGCTGGACTCCTTGGAGGAGAACCAGGAGAAGAGACCGTTGGAAAACATCTTGATTATGGGACGGAGATGAGAGATGAAAAGAGATGGAAGAGTGGAAGTGCAGAGAGAGATAGAAAAGTCAAACAGGGAAGAAAGGCCTGGAGTTTATAGTCGCGGATTTAGTAAGACGCGACGTCTTCCAAGGTTTTGTATAACGTCGCCCTGAACACTAATAGGGTGGGATTGTTTACTCTGCCAATCATATATGAAGCTGAATTTGAGAGCTTTGTCCCCATTTATACTATTTCAATATTTAATATTTGAGATGAGACTTCATATTTCACATATCAGCATAGATCTTTGTGAATCCGAAGTGCGTAGTTGCGTACTGCGTAATACATCACGTAGAATGTAGTACATGTAGTTAGTGTCAATGTTGATCTTGCCTTTCCCTTTATGTTGGAGCTTGTAGCCAGGGAGTAACCCCTATAACAAAAACAATAGAAATCTGCTGATCTTTAGGATCTACCTCAAATTGGAGATCTAAAAATTATATAGATCTTCAATAGTATCAACTCTCCAGGGCCGCCAAGTGTCCGCCAAGCCCAAACCGCCAACCATAAATTTTCCTCCTACACGCAACCTCCGCAATATCACCGGCCAAGCCCAAATAAAACGACAACAATGGCAACGCCGTCGCCCGCAGACCTGAACGCAGCGCGCGAAGCAGACTACAAACGCTTTAAAAACTATGCCGCCTACACATTCCTAATCGGCGCACCGATCCTAATCGCCCTCCCACCACGCAAACTCGACCCTCTCACCGTCCTCGTCCTCTGCTCCTTCGGCGCATCCGCAAACCATATCGTGCATGAGCGCACTGGACGCAGCATAGTCGACCGAATTGATGCCCGGATCTCCCGCATACAGGGGCCATTCTCTTCCCTACCGAGCGAGCGCGCGCTAGAGATCCAAGAACGACTCCGGGCCGCGCGCGATGCGCAGCTCCGCCAGGCTGAGCATGATCAATTGCAGGCGCAGATTCTGTCACTTTCGGATAAGCAGCGCAGGGAGCCGGACGCGGGTTTGATGGAGGAGATTCAGAAGCTTAAGGCGAGACAAGCGCAGGAGGAGGGGGTTATGCAGCGGGTTTGGATGGGTGGGGAGTCTGAGGGCTGGAAAGAGAGGAGGTTGAGGGAGGAGCAGAAGGCGCTTAGTGAGGGCAAGGGGTATGGAGATCTGATTCAGGAACATATTTGGGATGTTTGGACTTGGGGTGGGAAGGACGGGAAGGGTGATGAGGGAGTCAAGGATGAGACTGTGGTTGAGACTGAGAAGAAGGATTGATGCATTGATGCTGCAGTGTCCCTGTCTATTCTTTATGTCTCTTGTACAGCGTCTGTCTCTCTCCCCTTTTGATGTATTATATTTCGCCCTTTGCATTGGGATTTGGTGTTTGGTTGCTTCTTTGAATTCCACCTGCCAGGAATTTATCAGTTCGTGTTGGGATGTCTGTTATGTTTATGTCTATGTACAATATGTCCATTGGAATAAGCTGCAATTATGTACAATATCTACATTATCCAAAGATTTTCAGTGTGTACATATCCCAAAACGTATTAGTTACTTGACGTCGGAAGGACGTCACCTATATCGAAGGATCATATTTCAGCTTCATAATTCCTATTTAGAGCCAGTCTACAGTATCTACAAGCTTACCGAAAATGAAACCCAAGTGGATAATATTATTTGTTCATTTCAAATGCAATACATACAAAATGTTCTCAAAACAAAGAGTCTCCCCACGACCATGGCATCGCGAGAGATCCTTGATCGAGGCCGGTACATGACAACTCTCTCCAAGTGTATTCTATCCGGAAAGCCGTGAGACCCCTCAACGACCATGGCATCGCGAGAGACCCCAAGCCAACCAAATGCGGTACATGACAACTCTCTCCAGGTATGTTCTATCCGGAAAGCCGCGAGACTCCTCAACGACCATGGCATCGCGAGAGACCCCAAGCCAACCGATTCCGGTACATGAAAAATTCTCTCATATCACATGGTATCAAATGGCGAGACCCCCCATTCGAGCCGCCGGATGAAGACGAGGATAGTTTGATGATGATGCAGATGTCTTCCCCCCGGCGGGGCCATGGGAAAACCCGACAATTCTTGTTGATTGCTCGGTAAAAACCATGACCAGGACTGCTGTTCTAAGTACAGGTTCCTTTCTTTCATCCGACTCTTCCTTCCCCGGCTTCTGTTACATCTGATCCTCCCTGCATCGTCGCCACCAGGGCGAGATGAGGATCTTGTCATTTGTTCTTTTGTGAGGCCACTAGAGCAGGGCTGGCTAGGCCATTGTCTAGTGGAACTCAGTAGTAAGCGCAGCTTGGGTCCAGCTGGCTTGCTAGCTTGAGCATCGACTCGGCCTATCATGGAGTTAGAGAAAGTAATTACATTCAGGGTTGCCAAGTAAGTGGGGGATTAGGGTTATGGAATCTGGGGGATGGAAAGTTGCGGGACGGAACACGGGGCGACGGAAACTAGGATGATCGAAAGCATTGTGACCAAAATTAGGAGGATTGAAAGCAGAGGGATGAAAACCAGGCTGATGGGAAGTAGGTTCATGGAATGAAACGGGATTGAATTGGAAATTCGAAAGCGGGGGACTAACCATCTGTTTGATTGCAAAAGCGCCCTTGGCGAGCGCTTGGATTCTCTGAAAAACCGAGGTTAGTGCATCTTGCAGACCCTGTGCTGCTTCCCTGATATCACTCACTGTATCTACAAGAGGTGGTGCGTCGGGCATTTCGATATCGTTCTAAATTCAATGTTAGTAACTCATCTTTTGCAAAATGGATGTGGGATGGATCAACTTACTGGCTCATCAGGTGGTGGACACACATAAGCTGGCGCCTCAGCCATCTGAAAGTCGATGTTGGAATTCACGACAGGCACAGGCTGGTGTGCGGCAGGCAAAGGTTGGTGTGCGGCATGAGAGGTGTTGGAGTTGTGATTTCTCCCTCTGTAATTGGGATCATAATTCTTCCCCTTGTAATTCGGGTTGACATTTTGTCCATTGTAATTTCCATTGCTGTTATTGTTGTACCCATTGGCGTTGTGGCCGTTGGTGTTGTAGCCGTTGACGTTGTTGTCGTAGCCGTTGACGTTGTTGTTGTTGTAGCCATTGGCATTGTTGTAGCCGTTGACATTGTTGTAGTTGGCATTGTTGTTCCGGCGCTTTCTTCGATTGCCATTTCTATTGCCACCGCGATCGGTGTTCCACTGGTTGCCAACTTCATTGCCGTTGTGATTGTCATGGCTGTTGTTTGCGTGGCGTCGGGCACCTCCATTGCCCTGAGAAAATCGTGGCCCAACGGGCACGTAAGGTTCGTAGCGTTGGTAATTCATCTTTGTGGGGTTCCTTGTACCAAAGCTATGATGGGCGTTTGGACTACCGCAGCCTGGTTTTCCGGAGAAGTTTCGTGTAAGCGTGGTCATTCAGTTGAACTCCCAAAAGCCGGATTTCAACTTCGATGATGCCCAGTAGGACCTCTGTTCTTGGCTTGTTTCTTTCCTTTGGCTGGGCTTGTTCTTCTCGACCCGTGTGGATTGTTTGAGTGGATTTGATTGGGGAGGAATGGTTTTTTTTTTTGGTTTTTTAGTTTTGCCTTCAGCTGGGATACTTCACCTCAAGAGACGGTTGACTCCCTCGAAGTCCGACGATTAAAGACAACCTCTTGACCCTGGCAACTTACAAGGTTGGCTGGGCGATTTGATGGAGTAGAATTTAGATGAGTGGGAGGATGAAGAAGGAAAGAAAAAAGAGCAGTCGAAGGTGGGCAGAGGGGGTTTATAATACCAGGCTGGAGGTGCTACTAAGCCGATCTTGGAAACGTATTGACTTCATTCACGGAGACAATATGTTGGATTCCTTGTATTCATAAAAGTTAATGCCTCAATAAGGGCAAGTCGATATCTTATTGTACTGGATCATGGGATCTATAGGGGGCCAGGCTATTATATGGCAACGAAAAGAGAGTCGGATAGAGAAGTAAATGCAAACAATGACCATTGTTGACAATAAATGGAGGCGGACAAAGAAACTTCCAGTTTTTCAACTTTGGCTCAACCATTCTAACAGAGGTCTTTGGGCCTTTTCATCAGAGATCCGGAGCCCAAGATGGAATCGGCCTATAGTTAGACTTGATGCAGAGGGCACGCGAACATAGAACCAAATATATTTTGATTGTCAGCACCATCCATTGTTTGTGGAACCCAGGCAAAGCAAAACCTTCAAAATGCATTGTAATTTCTGTTGAGCTAGATCATTTTGCTATCGGACAATAGCGGAAGAATAATTGTGTCGGAGCGCTCAATCGAGTTGCGGACAACATTCAGGTCACGCACCCCAAGTCAGAGACAAAGATATTAAATGCTTATTTCACCAGAACAATGAACTTTAAATCCTTTCTTTGTTGGGAATAATGGCTTTCTCTTGATGTTAGATTATTGATATGTAGTTCAATAACTATGCCTAATCCGGAATATAATGTCATCGTGATACATTTGGACCTCCCGAGGGTAATATCAAACATGAAATAACTACATACTTAGATAGGTACATATGTAGCCATACAACAAAAATGGAATTCCTTGGGAATAGTTAGATATTTCCTACATACTATGTACTCCATACTCCGTAGTATGTACTTCAATTGTTTAGCTCCACACCATACCTTTTACGGTTAGCCTATGTTAGCCCCACACTCTTGGCAGGGGCAGTAGTGCAAGTCAGTCTTTGATAATATCACAGGAAGCGACCACGAGTCCAATTAATGCATTCGAAGAAAATCTAGAGCAAGTAGCTCTTTGCATTATTCGATGTTACCAAGAATACATATTTCGGCATTGTAAGGATCAGAATTTGACGGACCTGGACCTCAGCTGCGGTTGTGACTCTAGTTATTTCCCGTCCGGAAACCGACAACGCTATACAACTTCAAGACACACACCCTCGCGAGCGTACAGGCCTAGTAGTCGCACCTCAGAAGCATGATGATTAACTGAAATTACGGATTTGAATAGGAAGAAGAGGTCGCCTCAATTGGAACCCGCGCCCGGTCTTTAAATTTCATTAATATACGAGAATCGTACTACGACCGATCCCTACTAGTCTCCAGTCATACAGGCCTGACAAGATCCTCCATGGGGAAGGATCAGGCAGCGAGTCTTGCGTTGATGATATCCTTCATATGCGCTGCAGACAATGGATAACATATCGTGTGCAAAGTTTTGTTACTTATGTATCATGTAATGCTGACATTTCTCTCACTTATATTCCAAGGTTAGCCTAGGACATATCCTAGCTCGTGACTCACACATTTTTGGGATGGCACTGCTCCTACAGTCAAATGAAGAGACAAAAAGAGGTGATGCAGAGACTAATCAGCTTAGACTCCAATGGAGCATTCTCTTAACAGGAAATCTACATTTAGATAACCATCTACTCTGTAGGTACTCCGTAGGTGGAAAAGGTAGAAGCCCTGGAGATTTTCGACTACGCGGCACGGCCCGTTTGCTTGCACCAATCAAGGGTTCTATAGTCGGCCGATACCGCTAGCCTGTGATGACTCCGTGGACCTGATCTACTTTATGTATTTCATCTTGCTTCGTTTGTCCCTCTTATTTTTCTCTCTTCTCTGTCTCTCTTCGTTTTCTCTCTTCCTTTCCTCACTTCTTTCTCTCGCTTCTTTTCCTCACCTCTTTCTCTCACTTCTTTCCCTCTCTTCTTTGTCCCTCTTCTTCCCTCATTCATTCTCCCAGCCATGGAACATATTCGGCAGACCTTTGCCCAATGCCAGGAGGAAGGCCGTCCAGCATTGGTAACCTATGTGACGGCCGGATTTCCCCGTGTGGAGGAAACTCGAGACATTTTGCTGGGCATGCAGGCCGGAGGAGCTGGTGAGTCACTTCCACAACATTTGAGAAACATTCATCCAACTAAAATTTGTACAGACATTATCGAACTCGGTCTACCTTTCACTGATCCCATTGCGGATGGCCCGACTATTCAAAAGTCTAATTTGAAGGCGCTTGAAAATGGCGTTACCATCTCGTCGATGTTGGGCATAGTCCGCGACGCCCGCCAGAATGGGCTCAAGACACCCGTTCTCTTCATGGGCTATTACAACCCGATACTGCACTACGGGGAGTCCAAATTCCTCGCAGATTGCAAAGCGGCAGAAGTCAATGGCTTCATTATCGTCGACCTCCCTCTGAAGGAGGCCCTTCGATTCCGTGAAGGCTGTGCGAAGACGGGGTATGTAACTAAAACCTATAGAGCTGATGGTCGATACTAACAGTCTCAAAACCAACAGTCTCTCTTATGTCCCTTTGATCGCACCCTCTACTACGGAGGATCGTATGAAGACCCTGTGTCAAATGGCCGACTCGTTCATCTACCTCGTCTCTCGCATGGGCGTGACCGGTGCTACTGGAACCCTCAATTCGGAACTCCCTGCTCTTATCAAGCACGTTAAGGAGCTCTCGGGCAATGTCCCTGTGGCGGTTGGCTTTGGTATCAGCACACGTGAACATTTCCTAAGCGTGACCTCTATCGCCGACGGCGCCGTCATCGGCAGTCAAGTGATTACGGTCCTAGGTGATGCTGCAGGTGGCCACGCCGCGCAAGCAATCGAAAACTATTGCTCGCAGATCACACAGAGAAAAGTCACTCGGGAGACCTCGGTCGCTGCAGCTTACGAAGTGCCGGAGGCGAGTGTGCCTGGCTCGGTTATTGAGGAAGAGGCAGCTGCTACTACTGATGGCTCGGGACGATTTGGCATTTTCGGCGGCCAGTATGCTCCGGAGGCTTTGATCACCTGTCTCGATGAATTGAATGCCGGTTTCCAAGCCGCGCAGAATGATCCGACTTTCTGGGCCGAGTTCAAATCATACTATCCCTTCATGGGTCGTCCATCCAGCCTGCACCTAGCTGAGCGGCTGACTGAGTACGCGGGGGGAGCGAATATTTGGCTGAAGCGCGAGGATTTGAACCACACAGGGTCTCACAAGATTAATAATGCCTTGGGTCAGATTCTCATTGCTCGCCGACTCGGTAAGACTGAGATCATCGCGGAGACGGGAGCAGGCCAACACGGTGTCGCCACCGCTACTGTCTGCGCCAAATTCGGCATGAAATGTACTATTTACATGGGTGCGGAGGATGTCCGTCGACAGGCATTGAATGTCTTCCGGATTCGCTTGTTGGGCGCTACCGTTATCCCCGTCGAGTCGGGATCGCGTACTCTCCGGGATGCGGTGAACGAAGCTTTCCGCGCGTGGACAGTTCGCCTAGACACTACTCATTACATTGTCGGCTCAGTGATTGGACCCCACCCCTTCCCGACTATGGTTCGCACGTTCCAGAGTGTGATCGGTGAGGAAACCAAGGCCCAGTTGCGGGATCTAGGCAAGAGTCCCGATGCCGTGATCGCTTGTGTGGGAGGTGGCTCGAACGCTTCGGGAATGTTTTATCCCTTCTCTGATGATTTGTCTGTCCAGCTGGTTGGCGTGGAGGCTAGCGGAGATGGTCTAGACACGGCGCGTCATTCAGCCACGCTCAGTGGTGGCTCCGTGGGAGTTCTGCATGGTGTTAAGACGTATGTCCTACAGGATGAACATGGCCAGATCTCTAATACTCATTCAATCTCTGCGGGACTGGATTACCCGGGAGTCGGACCACAGCTGGCGAGTTGGAAGGAGAGCAACCGCGCGACATTCCTCTCGGCCACCGATGCACAGGCTCTACAGGGCTTCCGACTGCTGAGCCAGCTTGAAGGCATTATCCCCGCATTAGAGACCTCCCACGCGGTGTGGGGCGCTATTGAGACGGCCAAGAAGCTCGGACCTAACAAGGATCTCGTCTTGTGCTTGAGTGGTCGTGGAGATAAAGACGTGCAGAGTGTAGCCGATGAGTTGCCTAACCTCGGGCCTCAGATCGGGTGGGACTTGCGGTTTTGAACAGGCGCTTACTTCGGATAAAGAGGTACACAATAAACAGCATTGAACTCCAATCTCCAAAGTGTGAACTAGTTTTGCTTGAAATACAAACTCTATTATGATCAACACATGGTACCTTATTGTAAGAAATATCTTCTCCCCTTCTGTACTTTGTCCGAATGACATAGTCGCAGGGTACAGCTTGTAGGGTATTCTAGGTTTCGGATCCAGGTTTGTCGTATAGCACGATCACCAGATGTGATCTTTTGCAAAGTTGCGAGAGAAATTCTACGATGTGCCTCTTCCTTTGTGCCTATCATCACTATAAACAGCTAGTTTGTGATAGATGAGGGGTTCAAAAGCCGCTTGCCATAAGCGACATACAGAACTGCAGGGGTCTAGAGAAGCCATATCATTTTTAGCAGCTCTGCTATCTGCTGTAACAGTTCTGGGGGTAGTGTTGCCACCATAATGCTGGAATGAGGTGTCCTGGCGGGCGACACATTCGTGCAGACCACTTTGCCGATATCTCACTGTTTCAGTTAAACGATACACATTTCCCTTGCATAGGACTCGGTAGTACATGCAGGTGGTTTTCGGGAGCAACGGCATTTACTTTGTAGATACTAGTCCAAGCCCGTGGAGCCTCAGGCTTACACTTTAAGTTGTACAATATTGTATTCGAAGATAAGTGGATTGTGGCCGAGCTAGACAATCATCGAGCTGCCTAGAAGTTCGATTCCTTGTTGGATTCCTTGTAGTTGTAACTTCTTGGTTGATAGAATCCCCACCCGAACAGGGATCAGAAATATGAACTATCATTGAGTAGTTGGAATTTCTAAGAATAGTTCCAGTGAGAACTGGCCGAGCTGTCACTCAATGCAAGCACCATTGCCTCTTCCCTGAATTTTCAAAATCCACCAGTAGCCGAGCCAACAAGCCCGATAAAAGTAAAAATAAATCATGTAACGGACCAGCATCACTCGTGATTTCCTTCAAAGCCTTTCTTTTCAAGGCGATCTGCGTCGCTTCTTCTTTGCAGAATCCATGTCATTATCCATCAAATCACCATGTCTCTTGTGCCCATGCGCAATCATAAGTCGTTTCTTCCGAGGCCTCGATCCAACAGACGATTCACCCTCATTCGACACGAGACTTTCGCGCTTGCGCTTATCTGCTTTGGGGTTTTCTCTCTTCAGGCGTTGCTCCTCCTTGATTTTCAGCCGTCGCTGGACTTCTGCTGAGATATCCTCTGTTCCAAGCGAAATCGACGTATACTCTTCTTCTTGCTCGGGTGTTGGCTGGGAGGAAGAATCGCGGTATCGTTTGGGGGCGCGCATTTCGTCCGTGGGCTCAGGATGGGCTGTGTCCTTGTCTCGTGAAACTCTTCGTCTCTTCTTGTGAGTATTGGCCTCTGTGTCAGTGGACTGTGTGGTGTTGGAGGAGGCAGATATTGAAGGCGTGGCGTTTTCTAAGGCTATCATGTCAATCCTGTCTTTATCGCTTGATAAAAGGTGGGGTAGGTTGTTTTGTTGCTTCCGGGGTAGGAGTTCGGTGGGACTTACTGCTCATCTAAAGAAGTAACAGTCAGTTATAAGATCAAGGGAGAGGAAATTCAGCACAATACTCACCATATGCTTTCTAGCGACTTTCAGCTGGTTCATCGCCAGTACTGTTTTGTTCACCATTGACGAGACCGTCTGAAGGCCATTGAGATCTGGAGCAATCTGCTCCTTCACCATGCTGAGCATCTCGAGATGAGAGCAGAGGACAGCTTCATGGCGGGAGAAGATCTGGTTACAAAAAAAGAAGCCAGTCAGTCGCAGTTTCCTTAAAATGTCCATAATTTCAGTTCGCGCCTTGCGCAACAAACACATACCTCCGACCAAGCGACCGTCTCATTTGCATTGGGAGTTGGAGTATCTTTTGGATTGGGGTTGGTATCGTTGGCTTCATCCTCCACTGTGGGATTCATGGCGGGCTTAGACTTCGAAGTCATGGTGAAATTGAAGATCGGCAGGTGCTCCGCGCCAAGAGTTCGGCCTTGCAGATGAAGCGCTTCCGGAGTTTAAGTACACGACAGTGTAGCAGAGTAGCAGAGTAGGAAAGAGTAGAAGATGGTATTTACTTAGTGTACTTGAGATTTGTTATTCAGTCTAATTGTTCCAATCCGATGGTCTATTGTCCTATTGTTGATTTGTGTCCCCATTGTTGTATTTCGAGTCTATAGATAACTACAATATAGTACTTCGTACATAGTCTCACCAGATTTTGCTAGCAACCTCAAGGGATGATCCGAGAAACAGAAGGTAGTAAACCAAAGGCCTGGAAAAAGATGCAAAAAAGAAGCGAGCCAGTTCAAGGTGACCTCAACTCCTTGTTATTATTTCAATCTCATTGTACATTATTTTCAAGCTCCAACGCCATTCATCCATGCTCAAGACCTAACCAAACTGTACCACCAAAAAAGCCAGCTATCCAAGAAAAAAATAAGTCATACAAATGGAGACCACTCTCTCATTACCAGGCACCAGCGTCAAAGTCGAATCGGGACAGGTCTTTCTGTGAATCTTCCACATCTTTCTTCGCTTTCATGCGCATGTAGAAAATCGGACAGTCACGGGACGAGCAGATGACCTCACAATGAAGACTACCTTGGCATCGCTGGCACTGAGTCCACAGGCGCCCGAATCGGACCTCTAGATCAGAGACCTTGGTAAGAGTTTTTGTGTAAAGTTCACCGAGGCGAGGGCGACAGTTTGAGCAGACGGCACCCTCCATCTCATCCTTGCTGGAAAGGGGCTTCTTGCAGCCCATGCAAGTCTGGGTTTTCTTGGCGAACTTCATCAGTCCACCCAAGTTCGATGCTGCTTTGGTGATAGACCGGGTGTGCTCGCCAGTGAGCAACTGGCCTGCCTTCTTCTCACCCAAGATGGGTTCGAAAATACGGTTGAGTGGGTTTGTGAGCTGGTTGTCGAGATAGTACTTAGTGTCAATAGGAATGTTGTTTTCCAGAACGTAGATAGGATCTTCTGCTCGTTCATAGCCCTTAGAATCACTAGAACCCTTGATCATGACATAGGCTACACGATCACCAAGCGTTGGTGCAGAGCCTGCGTCACGCTTGTGCATGCGCTCGGCAAGTTCGACGTGTGCCTGCTTGCCTGCGTATTCCTCTTTGCGTTTCGACAGCGCTTTTGTGATAACTAGTTTCGACATGTCGATTTTGTTTTGGAGAAGATCCGAAATGGTGGCTTTGACGTAACTAGATATTATGTTAGTTCTTGATATTGTCGTTTGAGTGATATCACAACTTACTCTTGCGCACCATCAAGGTCTCGGTCAATCAGAATTTTGTTCAACACAGTTTCAATGACATTTTGAACCATCAGACAGTTATCACGTCGGACAGTCTCAATACCCTTCGTGTCCATCTTGTCAGGTTTGTCGGGATTTGTCCAGTACAGTCCAGCGTATCGCTTCTTATTGATCAAAAGATAAGGGAAGTATACTTTCTCGAATTCAAGCTTGATGGGCGTGATGAACTTGGAAGAAACAAAGTCTGCTGCTTCTTGGCCAAGCTTCATCGCATCTGCCAGTTCGGTGACGCCAAATTTGACCATGACAGAATCAGTATCACCGTAGATAACTTCCGCGTCATGAGAGTAACCGTTGGCGATGGTGTAACGTGATTCTACCTCTTGCTTTGTCTTCTCAATCATCTGGCGACCGTAACTTGTTGTACTACTGGCAATGGGAAGACAGGGCAATTTACCCACGGTAGCACCTGTTAGACCGTAGACACTGTTTGCACTGATCTTCAAAGCGAGTTGGCGACCGTTCAGCACTGCCTTTTTGAAAGAATCGGTCTCCGTAGCTAACTCCTTCTTCGCGCGCTTTCTTGCCCCTAACAGCTCTTCGAGAATTTGGGACAAAAGGCCTTTGCGAACTTTCGTTGTGCAAAACATATCTCCATTTGGAGTAACGATATAATCCTCATCCTTCTTCAGATTCAATTTCTCAATACTGCTCTTGTTGAGCAAGGTCGTGTAGCAGAGGTTGTGTGCTTGAATGATTGAGGGGTACAGTGATGCGAAATCGAGGGTCGCAACGGGCACACCATAATATCCTCGCTTCGGCTCAATGACAGTAGCACCTTCGTAATCTTGCTCATCCTGGGACTTGGAATTGGGAATGACTAGTTGTTGCTCTCGGGCTTTCCGGAACAGTTGACTGATGAACTTGACTTGCTGTCCTCTAGACAAGAGGAAATTAAACGGCACACCCGTGACTCTTGCCATTTCTGTGTAGTTGACCAGGCACATCAATTTGTCCATCAACCGTTGTGGTAGGTATGCATCTTTCAGACAGTACACTGCCAGTCGTCGTCTCGAATCGGGGGTACCGTTGAACAGCTCAGTAATCATCGTGTGGTGAACGTCCTCCTTTTGCTCCTTCAAAAACTCGTAGGATACGGAATTAAGGGTATAACTTCTTAACTGGTGATCTCTCTGAACCAACTGGAGAAGATCAAGTTGAATTCTGCCGTTTGTATTTGTCGCTTTCGTGTCTCGGTTGCCCATTTGCTTGCTCGAGAAGTTTGCATCCTTGGCCTCTGTCTTGCAACCCTTGAGCCTGGTCCAATAGGGGAACCCAGTGCATTTCAAGTGCTTGGCGCGGTCGAGTAGATATGGGAAATCGAAGTTGGCAATGTTGTATCCGATAATAACGTCGGGGTCCACCTTTTCCACGAAATCACGCCAGGCATCGAGCATCTTCTCTTCCTTTTGGAATTCAAGGATTTGGGTATTGACGATCAGGCTGCAAGTACCGAGAACAAAGACGTTTCTGATAAATGGTTTCGATTCTCCGTATCGAGTAACAACGTTGGCAATTTGGATGACAGGGTCCATGTTAGGCTCCGGGAAGATACCTTTCCGTCCAGCACACTCGATATCGAAGGAGAGGACACGAAGAGGTGCCATTTTAGCCCATTCCCCATTGGGCGCATGAGCTATCATGTGGTGATAGTCGACACAGGCTTCGATTTGGCAGTTGGACAATCGCTGATTCTGTGCAAGAAGTCGATATTTTCCAGCAATTGCTTCGACCCAAGCCATTCCAGCCAGCCCGGTGTCGATCATGAAGCGCAGAAGGTATTGAATACTGTCAAATGTGAGGATTCCATCTGCGCCGCTCCACATACCCTTGTAGTTCATGCTTCCACTGCCAGCCTCTAACGCACTTCTCAATCGAGCGGCCAATTTTGGCTCAGTAACCGTGATCTTAATATAATAACTCTTCTGATTTCCTTGAAATCCGTAGATGTTCTCGCGCATTGTGAGCTGCACAGACGAGATTGCACGGAAGCTCTGGCCTAGCTTTTGCTCTAGGAAATTTTTGTACGGCTCGCAATCTGCTTTGGTGAAGCTGACAGGAGCAGCGATGTAGAGGTAATGTTCAAAGCCGGTGACATGAAGGCAAACTGATTGTCCGGTCTGCGAATGTTGTTAGATACGAAACCCCAGCGCACGACAAATATATTTACCTCGGTGACACCGAAAAGCCGAATTGCAGGTTTTCCCATCAGGACTGCTTCTTCCGCATCAATCTGCTGGAAACAGATGTTTTCCTTGGTTTCATCGAATTCGCCAAGCGAGGGGCGCTCCCATTGCTGGTCCTTCTCCGAGTTGTTCTCCCTTAAGTCGCCGATATCCTGCGTCAACTTTTCCAGTACCTCCTCCTCGAATTGACTTTTCTGTGGTTGAGTTGAGCCGACCTTTCGCCGAGCGATCTGCGAAGAAGGCGTAAACTGCACAGATGGCTCATTGTCGAGTTTCCGCTTTTTGAGACCACTATCAGATTTCAAGATACCGTTGGGATCATTGGCCGCGTCGCCCAGCACCCGTTTCTGTGGAGGGATGATAGCTTCAGGCATGGCGGCAACTCATAGACCGAGGGCCACCAAGTCACAGTCAATTTTGAAATGGGAAATGTATGGGGTGAGAGGGGACTCGTAAATTCAAGAATGTCTTGACCGGGCTCCTAGTGAAAGTCGCGCTGTCGCGCCTTCGACGTGACGCTTACGCGTGATAGTCACGTGCGATAAGATAAGCTAAATTGGAACAGAGATTCGGGGTAATATGATTGGCCAGACGGTCAAATAGTCGAGTATACAAAACAAATATAGCTCTAGATGTTCCTTTTTTTAGTTTCTCATGTTATTTGAGAAGAGTTTGTTGTCCATGTATTTTCTATACAGAGCCATATCAAATATATAGTTGTGGCCTTTCATCATATATACACCGAGGTCCACCAAGTCCAACTGGTTCGGAAACGGATGACTCGCCTCCCTGGGCTTGGCACCAAATGACTCTAGGCTCTAGTTTAAAGCCAAGTCTTTGTCTACTTCTTCACTACGTCAATCTGTCGATTTCCATGTACAGTCTCAGACTCTATCCAAAAGGACTTTGATTATTTTGCCAAGAGCCGCCTGACCCACGCCCTGCTAGAGACATTCTAGTAGAACCCGATGGAAGCTCGAGTCAACCAGCCCCCCGCTATGATTCTATGATATGTTTACATCTTGATCTCAAGCCTGACGTGTCATCTCCATCTGAGGGATAACTAACCCCTGTTCATTTCTGTCATTGTTTCGGTTTCGCGCCATTGCCTTGATCAAAGAGCTTGCATTTTTACTGCGGGGCAAGAATCAGACCAACTTTCTGGAGGGCAGCACAATTTATACCAACTTGTGGGCCTAGCATTCTTTTCCTTCCTTTTGTCCTTTGCCTGGAATTGTCTGTATACTTCGTCTCTCATCGCCAATGGCACCGATGCAGCGCTGATTCAAAGTCTTCATTGCGTGTGCTATTTGAACTAAAAGTGTTGTCAATATGTCGATGTTCCGATCAGCAGCAGAAATATCATCCTCGGAATCCGATACCGACTCTGATCCAGAAGAAACCCAAATCCAGGAATCCGGGTCTTCAACTCCTCGACATGCTGCAGAAAATCAATCCCGCAGCCCGAGAAGGGACAAGACCAAGCAAGTTCCGAAAGACTCAAGTTCTACAGACCCAGACTCTTCGATCTCTTTCGATGATAGATCAACATTACCACAGGATCTGGTTGATGTAAATGTTGATCAGCATGCGAATTTGATGACATCCGCACTGCTGGAATATTACTGTCAGAGTCGAGCAGCAGACATTCTCAATGCTCAACGTGGCTCAAATAAACCTTTCAGTCGGCACAGCCCCGAGGCTCAATATCTTGGCAAGAAACTATATAAATTTAAATCACAGTTCTTGTCAGCTCACGGTATCTTGGCCGAAGGCATTGACAGAGAGGAAATGGGACCAAGTAGGCAGAGTTATCGGGATAACCTCGACTTGCTTGGTATATCTGCCCTCGAGGAGATGAATTTCCATGACACCCACACACGGTCTCCCGCAATCGGCTCTGGGGCAGATCTCTCCTCAAACACAAAATCTTTGACAAAGAGACCCAGCGTTGAGGACATGGAGAGTCCCATTCTGTTCCGGCGGAACACAGAACCAAATGCACCGCTTAGGAAACAGCTCCCCCCTGCTGACAAGGTGGATTTCATTCCAGCTCTTCCCCGTGTGACAATGAACCTCTCCAACCCCTCGATTCCGCTATTTGGTAGCTCGCCTGTAGGGGTTCCACTTTTCCATTCCCCAACAGCCCCACCATATAACCATCTGTCAAGATATTCTGTCGAATTCCAGGAGCTCAAGATATTGGGCCGTGGGTCCTTCGGCGAAGTATACCACGTCACCAACCACATTGACGGACAAGACTACGCCGTCAAGAAAATCCCTCTCAGCCAAAGGAGGCTTGACCAGCTACAGTTTGGAGGTCAAAATCAGCTCGAGACTATCATGAAGGAAATTCGAACACTTGCCCGCCTTGAGCATACGAATATTGTTCGATACTATGGGGCATGGGTCGAGCAGGCCCATCATTCCCACCCACCTTCCGCCGAATACCACCCTTCTCACACAACATATGATAAGTCACAAAATAGCTTGTCTTCTCCAGATATTCAAAATGAGTCAAGCATGGGGATCGTCTTTGGATATTCTGAATGTTCAAATTCCGAATCCCAGTCAAGCTCTCTGCCTGAAGATCATAGTTTTACTGAGAGCATCCACCGTTCGGATAGCCACGCGACTAGCTCATCCCACCAGTCAAAGAAAGGCTCGCGCAGGGGATTGTATGAAGAAGATGATGATGTTGAATCAATTCCTCGCAATTTTGACGGGAATACTTCTGTTGGCCAAACATCAACCTTTGGGGAGACCGACGACATCTTTACTGATGGTCTGAGCCAAGATCAGTCTAAACTTCAAGTTCAACCCCGTTACCGGCCTGGCCAACAACCACCCGCCGTCATTCTTCACATCCAGATGTCACTTCATCCTATTTCGCTCGGCGCGTATCTAAATCCCCAAGTCGCCCCGAAGTATGATGAATGCTCACTCGCCAGGCGTCATTGCTTCCACCTACTGCCCTCACTGAAGCTCATGATGGACATTGTTTCGGGTGTTGAGTACCTTCACTCAAAGGGTATTGTGCATCGTGACTTGAAGCCTGCAAATATCTTCCTATGCGCACCAGAGAACAGCACAGCAGACATATGTATCGCTTGCAGCTCCGGCGAAGCTTCTCCTGTCCAGTTCTGTCGTCCTCGCATCGGGGACTTTGGTCTTGTGGCAGATATCTCCCACATCAACGAGGAGGCCTCGCAGGGCACTATGACACCATACCGAGAAGGACCGAATATACAACGGGTAGTTGGAACCGAGTTCTATCGTCCTCCGGCCAATCTTTCTACGCCTACAAGTGACCCAAGCTCACCAGTTGATTACTTTGATGAATATAAGATTGATGAAAAGCTCGATGTTTACGCGCTTGGCGTCATTCTCTTCGAGACTGTTTATCGCTTGAACACAAAGATGGAGAGACAATTTGTTCTAAGTGATCTGACTCGCGGGTCAGGCCAGGATCCGTCCGAGCGCACTCTTTTCCCTGCAGACTTCGCCGCCAAGATCGATCATGGCTCGACCGTGCTGGACGATGGCATCTCAGTTGCGGATGCTCTCATGAAATGTATCAAAAGAATGTTGGAGCCCAAATCGCAACAGCGATGGACATGCCAGGATGTCCAGGAGCATTTGCGGGCGATGAAGAAGGCCATTCGCCGATACGAGAAAACGCAGGAATGAATGTCTGAAACAAAGACAAGGACCAATGAGCTTGCATTCTAATATGATATACCCAAATAATGACAGAAATACATAACTCCCCTCTTATGAAGCAGAAAGTGAAGATCAGCATCCGGACCTCGGTATAGTAGTTCTCCCCACCTTCTTCACAAGCGGCCGAGCTTGCCTCCCCCGCATGAAACTACCTCAGATAGAGTATTCCCTCCAATCTTCAAATAGTCAAATACAGTCGTGGCTACTTAGTATTACCTAGCTACTTATTCATCTTCTCATCAAACTAAATACTACCTCACAATGGCCGACACGCTCCGTCCCGCAACAGCTCCATACAGCGAGCCTCTTCTCCCGCAACTAGACATCCGCAATCCATACTATACAGACCTACACCATAACCTACGCTCCACCGTACGCGAGTATGTCGACACATACATCTCCCCGTACGCCGCAGAGTGGGAGGAAGCAGGCCAAGTCCCCGAAGCCGTTCGCCGGCGCCATTGCAAGCTAGGTTACAACATCGTTCATCCACTCACGAGCGAGGAAGACTCAGCAGGCCTCTCTCTGCCTGGGAATGTGCCGCGCGAGAAGTGGGATACGTGGTGCTCATTGATTGTATCGGACGAGCTCACGCGCGTTGGGTATGTTGGAGTGGTTTGGGGGCTTGGTGCTGGTAATTCGATTGGATGTCCGCCTATTGCGCGGTTTGGGAATGAGGAGCAAAAGAAGAGGTGGCTGCCCGGTGTTGCGAGGGGGGATATTAGTTTTTGTTTGGGGATTACTGAGCCGGATGGTATGTGAATGTTTACCTTGTGGCGGAAGTATATCTTCTTAAAGAAATGGATTGCTAACTTCGTTTACCTTTTTTTCCAGCTGGCTCTGATGTTGCCAATATCAAGACTACGGCTCAGCGGGATGGGAATCACTATATTGTGAATGGGTCGAAGAAATGGATTACCAATGGTATCTGGGCCGATTATTGCACCGCCGCTGTTAGGACTGGTGGTCCTGGCAGGTCTGGTATCAGCTTGCTTGTTATCCCTTTGGCTACTGTTGGAGTGACTCGCAGGCGTATGCATAACTCGGGCGTTCATGCCAGTGGTGTGTGCTTCTTTTTCAATATGGCTCTGTGGAGGTATCACCAATTAACACAATCATAGGTTCAACTTTCATCGAGTTTGAAGATGTGCGCGTCCCTGTCGAAAACCTCCTCAGCCAAGAGAACATGGGATTCCCCCTTATCATGTCGAGTGAGTTTCCTTACCAGGGGCTTTAATTGGCCGCTAATATTTTCTTCAGACTTCAACCCAGAGCGCCTTACCCTTGCATGTGCATCCTTGCGACTTGCCCGAGTCTGTGCCGAAGATGCCTATAACTACGCCATCCAACGCGAAACGTTTGGATCTCCACTCATTGAAAAGCAGGCAATCCAGTCCAAGATCTTCAAATTTGGCCTTATGATCGAGCCGGCCTATGCGTTCATGGAACAGCTTGTGAATATCCTCGAACTTACCAAAGGCCGTTCCTCCGACGATGTCAACATTGGTGGTATGACTGCCTTGCTTAAAGTCATGTCGACTAGGGCTCTAGAGAAGACTGTTCGAGAAGCACAGCAGATCATGGGAGGTGCGGGCTACAACAAGGCTGGGAAAGGTGCTAGGATTGAGCAGATTAGTCGTGATGCCCGAGTTCATGTAGTCGGCGGCGGAAGTGAGGAAATCATGGCGGGATTAGCGCTGAGGGAGGAGACAAAGGCAATTCGCACTCGGCGAAAGGCGCTTGAGAAGAGGCAGTCTAAAGTATGAAGGAAAATTGGGTTCCTGGGAAAATGGGGAACTAGCCTATAAGCATATGTATATATGACATTAAACAGCTCTAATAAGTACATAAGATAGCCGAGCAGTATCTATATCGCTTTAAAATCTCGGCTTTATGACATGCCGTGCTTATCCCTTCCATGGTGTCACAATCACTGTACTAAGGCCGAGCCACATTCCACCATAATCAAGCAGTGTCATACCCGCATCACAGAAGAGATATATCCCTCGTCGGACTGTTGAAAAAAGCTTCGGACTTGGAATGCTAAGGAATTGGAAAAAAAGACTGGAATATTTAGGAGTTCAACCCAGGAATAGAGGTACAGATAATAATATAGAGGTAGGATTATGGTCCACTGGTATTTTCAAGAAACGCGAAAGAAGCCCAAGACACAAACAGACATTCCCCAGCCCTATTGTACAGTATAAGGCTTTGCATTGGCACCAAAAATCAAGTGAGGCCTCTCAGCAGCAACCTTAAGAACAGTCTGCGCGAAGACCGAGTTCGCCCACGAGAACCAAGGACGGGTATAGTCCTTTATGTTGGTAACATTGATAGATTCGTGGACAAGCCCAAGCAAGCTAGAGTTACGAACGAGGTTGAGATTTCCAATGATCTCAGCATCGTCGTCGGAGGTCATGGCCTGGACAAGTAGAGACATGGGCCAGGCGTTCTCAAGACCGGCATGTGGACCACCGATGCCGTGGAACTGCGGACCAACTAGGTAGTACGGGTTGGAGGCTTTATCGGTGATCATTTTGCGTGTATTTTGGTAGACGGGATCTGATTTGTCCACAAAGCCGAGGTAGGGCAACGAGAGCAGTGAGGGCGTGTTGGCGTCGTCCATGAGAATACGGGAACCGTATCCGTCGACTTCAAATGCGTAGACGTCTCCCCATTTGGGGTGCTTAACAATGCCGTGATCGCGAACTGCCTTGGCTAGCTTGGCGCCTCGTTCCTGTAGGTCTACAGCAAGTTCTGCAGGCCCACCAGCTGCCTTGATGACTTTCGCTGTCTTTTGGAGCTGTACTGACATCATCGCATTGGGCGGAATAAAGAAGCCCAGAATCGTAGCATCATCGCTGGGCCGGAATGCGCTGCGAATAAGGCCAGTCTCGCCGTTTAGCGGGTTGCCTACACCAGCTAGGTTGAGGGTCTCAGTGCCAAGGGTAGTCTCTCGTTGGAATGTGTACTGATTTTTGACGAATTGGCCCTGAGTATTGAATGTAGGCTGAGACTCTGTGTCAATAGTTTCTAGTACTGTTTGTATTGCTTTGTACCATCGGTCGGTCAAGAACTCAGTTGAACCAGTATTCTCATGGAACTCAGTGCCTAGCTGTAAGAAATGGGCCAGAGAGTCAAGTTCATATTTACACTCAAATACAAAAGAGGCGTCATAGGCAGGATGAACTGTATCTTTTTGCGTGCTGGCTTCCGGTTTGATGCCGCTGAGAACGGGCGGCTGGAAAGCATTGCAATAGGGCGACTGAATGACGAACTCGGACTGGGTATTGATGGCACCTAGGATGAGCGAGTAAAGACTCTTGTCCTTGGCAGCTAGTGTTTGGTAGTTCGTGAGCTGGTTTGTTGAGTCACGCAGCCACTCGGCATTGATATCGCCTGTCACAATGAAGGTCTGCACTCCAGTCCATTGCGCGCCGTCTCGTTTGGCATTGATACCGGATGGTGTTGATCCGTTGGTATGCCACCGAATTGTAGTGTCTAGAGTGTTCGGAAATGCATTTCGGAATAACTGAGCCAGATCCTTATCGACTAGGCGTGATGTGATATCGTCAATGACCTTCTCCACAGCGGGCGATGAGAATGTCCGACATGCTTCCGCAGGTCGCTGAAAAGGAAGGTTCAAGGGGCCACCGCTGTAAGGAGCGCTGTGACATCATATCATCATTTAGCAAGTATTTAGTGCATCGCCATGGGATTATAGACACTCACTGCGGTGTTGATGCATAGGAGGTGTAGTCTGGGCAGGCCCGTCGCAAGATAGCTGGGTTATCTCTCCCTGGGAGGGCGCTGGCTTGGAGGCCAAACAGAGCGACTGCGAGCACAGCAGAAAGAGTCATGGCGCAAGTGTCAAGTCGGTAGAAATTAGTTAGGGACAGACTTGCACTGCTACATGGAAGAAGCCTGGGGTAAATAAGAGGGGATGCATGTCGATCCCAACCGGACAGGGATACATTCCATGGCACGCATACGATTTTTCCGTGGCTGTTCGCAAGTACATTTTGAGCTACGTAGCCGTCTATATCAAGGGAATTACCTCGGAAGAATACAAAATACACCGCAACATCAAGGTGACATCGGTTTGGGCACGATGACACTCTTCTCCACATAAAGTGCGGAGAAGATCGACATCACAAGATTTCCTTTTCAGGCCGATATACTTGGCATGAGGGGAATGAGCTGGATATACAATGATTTGGTATTACTAGATATCAGAGCTTTTAGAAACCTATTGGACACCTCAATAATACTACTCCGTACAACGATCACTTCTTCCCAAAGAAAGACATGATGTTACCTTGCCCTGCAGCTTTACCAGCCTTCGCCTTGGGTACATTGACCACGGGCTTCTTCTTAGGTACTGGCTCATCCTCAGAGAAAGACTCCCATGTCGCCTCTTCCCGAGTAACTGTATCAAATTAGTATATGTTGGCAAACGCACAGGTTTTAGCGGAATGCACGCACCTAAGTATCCTTCTTCGTCCTTGACCGTCTTCTTCTTCATGACTTGCCGCTTGCCTCGCCGCCGCCCACCCTGCACAGTCACCTCTTCTTTCAGCTCAACTGGTTTGGATGGTGGCGGTTGCTCAACAGGCGTGGGCTCCCGTGGCTCCTCATCGGCATCGGGCATTTCTTCGTCTAGATCCATGTCAGTTAGATCTTTTCAATCTGCAACTTAGAGGTCTAGGCATACCGTCAGCCTCCTCATCACCATCATCATCATCCATCATCTTCTTGAGCTTTTCCTCGCGCGCTTTCCTACTTTCGCGATTTGCCGCGGCTACCTTATCGGTGCTATCGGGGAACAGTTCTTCTGCCTCTTCTTCAGACGCATCATCAAGCACGACTATAAAACGTTAGCTAATACCTGAAACCCAAGTGGAGTTAACTAACCATCTTCTGCGTTCGGAGCGGCCTGTGGCTAAAGTTAGTGAAACAAGGTCAGTGATGAACAAAAAAGAACAAAGAAAAGATGTAGCATGAGCGATTGCACGAACCGATTCTGCGGGAGCTGATTCCTTTGTCTTTGGCTTTGCCTTGGCGAAAGAGCTGAAGAGATTGCCATTGCCTTTTTGCTTGGCTGGGGCTGCTTTACTCGAAGGCTTCGAGGATGTCTGGGAGTTGGCAGCAGAGGATGGCGCAGACTTAAGTTCATGGCTATCATCGGATTTAGTAGCTTCCGGCTTCGCTGCGGATGCTTCTTTTTGCAGTGGCCGTTTAGCGGGCACCGTCGACTTGGGCGAGGGCTTCGATGCCTTGGCAGCTGGTGCCTTCACAGCTGGAGCTGCAGGCGGCGGTGGGCGCGCGCCAGTCCTCCGCTGGAACATATAAACATTAGATCACGATGGACATATCGAAGTAACGAATGACCTACCTTGACGTTCCGATTTTGGATCATACCCCATTGCTTCCCACACTCCAATGGATCCTCCTGGCCGTGTGTTCTCGCAATCTCCCGATTGACATCAACTAATGCATTCAAATCCGGCAGAGCTGTAGGCTCAAGACTGTAGACATGTATTGTAGATATCGAGTGGAATGTTGATTTTGCATCTGCTCGACTCATTCAGTAACCAGCCCATCTGCGATCCATGAATATGCATACCTTCCAGGTCTTCCTCGCGTGCCAACATGATGGAGGTGGTGCGAATTGAGTGCGAGTCTGCATCTTGATTCGGCATCGAGCTAGGCAAGTAGGGGCTACTCTGCATCATCTCATCTTCGTCGTTCGCATGGCCGTTCGTAGGGGCAGGCTCGGGCGCTTTCTGGATACCGGAAATGACGTATGTTGCGTGGACGGTCTGTGGCTTCTTCGCGTTCTCGTTGCGGTGGAATTCAAAGAGGATGCTATGCAACGGAGCGTCCGTGTCAATTCCACCTCCAGTTTCTGCTGCTATGAACAAAGAACGTACTGTTTGGCCTGATTGGCGTGGACTTTGAGCGCCCGGCTCAATAAGCGGTATGTGACCTAATTCTGATAAGCTCCTGCTTGTCTGAAGGACGCGAGAAAATCATACAGGTTGCCTCTCATTGAGCACATTCTCAGCCAGATACAACTTAGAGTCCATGGTTGCTGTTGAAGTACAAGTTACTCTGACGCGTGCTCGACCACTTAACGCGTATCAGTCAGCGGGTCTTGGCATTTGCGGTCTCTTGTTCTGGCGCTCTCCACTCACATTATTATCCTCTTTCATATGCTATTGCCGGGCGAGTCCGGTTGGAATATCTACAGAAAAGAGCTCCAGAGCTCAGAACCTAGGTCTCAATTCAATGGATCAGGCGTTCGAGCTCCCTGACTCCACCGATTGGTTGGAAACGCCACTTTCACTACTTGCGCCGTTCGAATCCTCATTACGATGTCAAGTCTGCAAAGACTTCTTTAATAACCCCGTTATTACTTCCTGCAGTCATACATTCTGCTCGTTATGTATTCGCCGTTGCCTTAGTGCGGAAGGCAAATGTCCGGCGTGTCGGAGCTCCGACCAGGAGCTCAAACTTCGTCGCAATTGGGCAGTGCAGGAACTCGTCGACGCGTTTCAATTGGCACGGCCTAGTGTACTCAATCTTGCGAGGAGTGAAAATGCGCGCCTGGCTCGGGGAGAGGAAGAGATAGAAAAGCCGGCCCAAAAGAAGCGGAAGATCAAGCAGGCGGAAGAAAAGGAGCTACAGGTCCCAGAAACAGATTCGCAAGGCCGGCGGACTCGCTCTGGAAGATCCATAAATAGCTCTGCAGAAGAGCGAATTGTTCCTCATATTATGCCCGAGGTCATCGAGGATAGTCAGGATGATGAAGAATATATGCCTGGTATGACAATTTTATCACACACATGCCAGACCCGTCTAATAGCCTCACAGAAGATGGGTTGGTTGCTTGCCCAATATGCTTTCGCAAAATGAAGGAAGAGGCAGTGTTTCCACATCTGAGTATCCACCAACAGGAAGAAGAAGCTCCTGTGAAACCCCCTACTAAGCCAGCATCTTTCGGGTATGTGAATTCTATTGCATAAGTCAAGAAAAACACGCTAATAGGACGAAAATTACAGGTCATTAAAAGGCCCATCCCAAAGAGGCCCCGCCCTCCCCAATAAACAGCCCGAGCGGCTTCCGGCTATAAACTACTCCATATTAAAGGATAACTCTTTGCGGAAGAAGCTCCGAGATCTCGGAATCCCAGACTGGGGACAGAAACAGCTGTTGCAGAGACGTCATACGGAGTGGATGAACTTGTGGAATGCAAATTGCGACTCCAAATACCCCAAGTCTAAGCGGATATTGCTCCAGGAATTGGAAGTTTGGGAACGCACACAGGGTGGGCATGCGGTGACGCCGTCAGCATTCAGCACTTCCAGTAATGTGATGCGCAAGGATTTTGATGCCAATGAGTGGTCAAACAACCACGATGATGATTTCAAACGTTTGATCGCGAACGCGCGCAAAAAGAGTGAGGCCCAAGTACGATCGACTATCCCTGGAGCATCTCCGTCTTCATCTGAGCAAAGGGAACCACAACCCCAGCACCCTGCTAGAATACCAGCGAATGGTGCACGCATTGAGTTCAATCCAGACACCGATGCCAATCATGTTGTTGACTTATCTGGGTGACATCAAAACAAGCCAGATTAAACTCAAATTGAGAAGCACCCAGAAGAGCAAATTGTTCTTTCACTTAGGACAAATATGTCTCTCGCAAATCGGAGAGTCTCAATTTGCTGGCATTGGGCGGTCCTCAACAGACATGTTAGAGAGCCTGTCAATAATATTATCTGCCAGCGCCGAGTCTGCATCTTCGGCCGCACGTGCTTGACGGGAAGCCTCGGGGGCTTTCTTGATACTGTCCAGTTCGGCAAGCCTGCTCTCGGTGACTGCTGCCTCCTCCTTCTCTCTCGCCTCTCTGTCGCTCTTCTCCATCGCCGCAAGCTCATCATCAATCTCTCCCTCGTCAATGACTGGGCCGGCCTCGTTCATGATGCTTCCGACCTCATCCACCTTAGTCATCTCCTCTCGCAGTTCTTCAACAATATCCTCAACCCTCTCGGCACCGCCGATCTGAGTATGCAGACCGCGAAGCACACCGGTGCTTGCCTGCATTACCTGCACCATTTCCACCTGGCTGGCAGATTGCTCGATTTTTGAATAAACCTCCTCGAGCTGCATAAGGGTATTAAACCTTTGCTGGAGGTTGTGTTCAGCCAGCTTCTTGGAACGCACAGCGGACAGCGCTGAGATACGGTTTTTGTTAGCCAAAGCGGTCTTTGCAGACGCAGTCAACTCGGCGATCTTTGCTTCCAGGCTCGTGACCTGTTTCGACATAGTCGACACCAATGTCTTGATGGATGCAATGGTTGTGTCCTGTTGGGTGATCTCTGCGGATTCATCTGCGGATTTGAACTTGATTGTCTAGCCGTCAATCGGGTCAATATATAAGTCTTCTGGTCATATCAGTAGCCCAACTCACCTTGCCATCGTACGCAATAGCACCGCTATCGCGGGATAAATAAAGCAACAAGACATCAAAATCCGTATCTGATAATTCTGTAGAATCGTTCAGTATGCTCGAAAACTCTTCGATAAAGCTTTCCCTAGAATAAATGAGGTCAAGCTTGGATGAGTTGCTGCCTGTAGCTTTCTTAATTGCTCGGTCTGCTGCTTCCTGTAGGTTCTCTATCAAGACCAACTCCTGCACCTGTAGGTTCGGTGCCGAATCGCTCTCAGAACCTACCACAAACCCTTTGAGCTGCCGCGCTCCCCAGCTCACAACATTCCAAGGACTCAGAACCCCAGGATCAATTAGCTTCCACTGACTCTTCTTTTGCAAAAGCCCAGCAGTGGTCTTGTAAACTGGCAGTGGAATCATCGAATTCTTGCGCACTGCCTCGTCCTGCAACCTCCACTGGTTAGCTTAATAGCTCTGTCGTCAACAGAAAAGAGAAGAGACCCACGAATACAGTGCCCAGAGCTACGGGTCTCCCCCACTCCGGGCTCTCTAAATCTCGGAGCAGCGATTCATCCGTTCGGAGAATCAGGTGGTCTGTCTTCTTTCGTTTCGCGGGTGCTGATCCGTTCTTAGCCGATATGGTCGAGCCGGAACGTACTCGCACACCCCGTGAGGACGTATAGCCGCGCTTTGCAGCTCGGTTGAGTGCTTGTTCCCATGCGGCGACGTTAACAGCGTAGCCATCGGGGTTTGTCTTCTTCTGAGGCGTGAAGTCGGAGTAGAGTGAGGGTAAGCGGTTTCTGAGGGCATGATACTAAGCGTAAGCATGGGATTCTTTTTCTGTTTTGGTGGGCTTTGCTTTGAAACTCGCACTGTGGGCCCGGTCTCTACCTTCGGAATGCTTCCTCTTGTGTGAGGATATATTTCAGTAGTTCACTCATCATGCACGGGTATATTGAGAAATAATATGCCTCGCTCTAAACAAATAGATTGAAGTTGTTTTTTGATAGTGGACCTCGCAGACAAAGCAGATGGGGTCGGTCCACGGGTCATCTGGCACATCCACTTGGTACTTGCGGCTTCGTTGATAGCTTTATCGATAAGCTCCACGTGATGTGTCCGAATGTGGCAGGTCCAAGGGTGAGTTTGATGCTTGAAATCACTACATACATGGATGTATAATATCTATGGGAAATGATACAGCCATTTTACCAATAGAAGATAACAAACACTTCGGTTCTTTAGGGCCTAAAGGGGCCATATCCCATTTTTGAGAATACACACTTCGTGCCCCAACCCGAGTACATATATCTGTTAGGGAGTATTCTTCAAGAATACTTAAATATTCAGGTAGTACATTATGTATATAAAAACTTTGCAGACTTCCCCTACTACCAGCAGTATACATCACATTAGAGGCCTAAATTTAAGTTTGAACAGGTTTGTATTCTATGGTTATATGTATGCTATGATGAGGTATTAAGGCCATAATGAGTCTAAGCTCGTTCGAAGTCATCATTAGGTAGACTCTCGAGGTCTAGAGGACCCTGCGTCGTGTTGAAAGCTCCGGCATCCAGCTGCACAGGAAGCCCAATCAAAGAGCGGCGATGATGGCGCATGTCGAGCTTTTCGCTGGTCTCTTCAGTGCCCAAGAGATCCTCGCTAGCCGGTTCATCTCGAACATCGAATCCTCTCGATTCAAGATATTCAACCTTGACAGAATGGCGCAGAGTTTCAACGAAGTTCTGCATCTCAGGCATGGGGAACACCCCATCAGCCGGCAGCACGTCGGCATAGAGATGCTCGGCTTCTTCCAGACAGGCTGACGCTAGGGTAGGTTGACCTGCTTTGAGCCATTGATCAGCAGCGAGCATGCTCCACATGCCGGCTTTTCGGCGACGACCGCCCCATTTTGCCGCTCCAACTGGTGTTTTTGAAGCATAGCAAGCTGCTACCCGTTCGGTGTATATGATCTGACCGAGTGAGCCCACAAGGCCAAAGTCCATGACCCGCATGGCCCATTTGGCTGCGCTCTCAGTGGCTGACCCGCCACGAGACTTGAGAAGCTCAACCGCTAGGGATAAACAGCGCAGTGCGTGTGGTGCATCTGAACAACGTGTGAGGTATGAGTAGCAAGCAGTCTCAAACATTTGATCGACACTGTCAAGCTTGATTTTGCCTGACGTGGCTAATGGATTTAGAAGCATGCTTACTGCACACATTTCGTGGGCACCAGCATGATATTTCCAGGCTTTATCATTGCCAAAATCCGATCGAATCATGTCATATGTGGACGCAGCTAGCTTCCAATCGCGGAGCATGAACGCAAAGTCCGCCATCTTCCGCAAGATAGCTTCCGGGGAATCCGGACTATAAGAATGTTGTGTTGGATCGTAGTTTCCGCTGTTGCCACCAGACGAGCCTCCAATACTTGAACGCGAGCTTGAACCGAAGCCAGCCCATCGCCGGGACATCGACATAAATCTGCCACTTATACCACGCCTTCGAGATGCAACCTGGTCGTTCCAGACAGCTACTTTATTTTCCATGAATGGAATGACAGACTGCACCACGAGCTCTCGGATGAATGCCCTAATCGCAGTGGCATCAGAGCCAAAGAGATATGGTGTGCCATCAGTACCGAGATCAACCAAGGCTTCTGGTAGAAGGTTAGCTTATGCCTGATTATATGGCGGTAAAAACTTGCCTGCTTCACCTGCTCCCGACAGATGCTCGGCCGGCGAGAGCCATTCGCACTGGGGAACTTGCATGCTATCATCGTCTGTCACCACACACTGGCTGCTCCGAAGTCTTAAAAGATGGCAGTGTAGCCCAAAGTGCCGCTTCATTTGATCATAAAGCTTAATAGATTCCGTGATATCGTCTCGTTCTTCGTCATGAACTAGAACGTAGTATCTAAGATACTCCTCATTGACCCAGTCGGGTAGCTGTTTGTCCCCAGTGGTACCATCAGCATAGAGCTGCCTGAGTGTCTCCAACGGAGCTGGGTTGCGCGAGCTGATGACTATTACATTGGCTACTGGGTGGCCAAATGTCTCGTGGGGAGCTGTAGGTGCCGAACACAGGAGTTGTTGCAAAAACGATTTGCATAATGAGGTTGTTGCAGGAAATCCCAAAACGTCCTTTGTCCGTATCGATGTATCAAACATGCCATCTGAAGAGTTTAACTGCTTGGTCAAGACTTCTTCCATCTGGGCCAGGACCCCAGAGTCTCGACTAGCCGGAGCTCTGCCGAGCCCTTTGAAATCGACAAAGCGCACTCCATAGTCCTCCCAAGCACGACTCGAGCCTATACTATCCCGTATCACCACCTTTCCGGAAACCGTTTCTCCAAAGGGCCGAACCAACTCCCAAAATCCACCCTTGAACCCCTTATTCCGCACCAAATTGTCGGTATCCTCGGAGGCATGGACTGCGATCGTGGGTGAGAATGACCGGATAATTGATGACCTTGTATCATCAAAGCCATCAGACCTTCCATCAAATGGTGAACCGATTGATGACCTTGCTAATTGTGGGGTGGAGGATCTCCCAGAGCGCGAGTGCGACGACCCAGATCGTATTGGTAAGTCGGCGATTGAGGCCGAGAGAGGGTTCGGTGATGAGACTCTTTGGGATTCCGCCAGTTCAGCATCTAAAGATTGAGTACCTTCATGCTCCCCGGGGTATCGTGATGGTGATGTGGATGCGACTCGCGCAACGCCGGGAGAGAAGGACGGCGGAGGTTTGACCGGAGCAGCATCTCCAGGTGATGTCATGGGCGGACACCTGCTGCTTTGTGCAGATTTAAAGCGAGTGTAGTTGATCGACAGGCCCCATCAGCTGATAGATGAGGTCGAACGAGGTGTAATAGAGCGAGTGGGATACAGGCGGCTTCACGGAGGTGTTGTTGGGGAGAAAGCCAAGTGGACGGATTCGGGCCGATAAGCACTGACACGAGCAACAACGAAATAGAGCAACAGAACCAGTGGACAAGTTGGGCACTAAAGCCTTCTAAAGAGGTTGAGGATCGATCGTATTGTCAATTGTGAATGTGATACAGAAAGTACTCTCAGGTAGAGTCTGACGAATGATCTTCAAGCGGTGATGCAAACCACGTGAGGGCCACCTGCATGCTTATCGACAATCAAACTGACTCAATTTCTCA